TGTATATAATTATTTATATATAGGAGTATCATTGTTTATTAAACTTAAAACTTTATTAGGTTTGTTTCTGATCAGAGATGATCTATTTATTGGTTTTCAGAGGTCTGGTAGAAAGAATTTGCTCGTAGGGTTTAACCCATGATTTATTTTTCAGGTTATTAGATGTTCCAGTCTCAAGGTTGAGGATCCGCAATTAGGAGACTGTCATTCATCAGCTTGTATACTTTTAAGTAATATTGAATTATTGGATAATGTTTTAAGGGATCCTTGAGTTACGGGATTCCCGAGTTGTAACTTTTGGAGAATTATTAATTAATAAAATATTTATGTATTAGTTTTCTTCAGCGATTTATTTATTCTTTATTATTCATCTTTGTATTCTGTACTTACTTGAAATACTTTAATTATTTTGATATTTTTCTGATTTTGTGCGCGCACTTGATCAACCCGTGTTCCAAAATTAGGGGGTATCACAGTATTGGATAAGTATATAAATGTCGAAAATAGGAGCAATTTAATTAAATTTTAAAGACGAACTAGTGGATTTGTTTCATTTGTCAAAGATATGTGGATTCGAGGGTACCTTTGTTCCTTTCTTGCTCTTATGTTGTGGATGTGTGAGGGTTGTTTAATGATATTTTGCATTGGAATGTGCCAGTATTTGCAACAATAGATGGTACTAAATAGTTCATTGTGTTTACCAACGAGTTTTCAGACCAGTTTAGTTCTACTAAGTTCCATAATACTTGTTTTTCTACAATTACTCGGGTATATTTGTGTCACTTAAAATTTTACTATTTATCTTTTTCAGTGATATTCAAATTGCATTGTCAAACACACTTAATTGGATAAACGCTTTATCTATTCAGAATTAGGCGATGAATTGAGTAATCAAACAGCACCGTATAGTAGAAACATAATAGTCTTTGGCAAACTTTTTGCAACCCTTTGAACTGCTACTAAAGATGTATAATGCAAAAATAAATTACTCTTAGCAACGCTTTGTATTTTTTTGCAGCTCCTAACATTTTGTTTTGTTTTGTTTTTATTAAGAAAATTCTTACTTTTAGCGACGATTTCTTGTTGTCCATAGCAGCAATTATGATCGGGCTCTATATTTAGTACTCTACTTCTCTTGAGCTGAGGTCCAGGTAGCCGAAGAAGCTTTTAGCATCATTTTTAGCTGCTGCCTGTTGTAGTGGTGGTGCAATGGGTGCGATTGAGATCAATCCAACAAGAAGTGAGATTCGTTACTGAGTTGATCCTAGCGTTTCCAAATGCGAATAAAGTGCATTGTATGGGATTTTCACCCAGAAAATAATATATTAGATAAATAAAATAAAAAAAAGGTGAAGAAAGAGAAGTTTATTGTCACAGCTTCATTTAATTACTAGTAACAAAATTGGTGGCCTAGGTGTTGTGTGTTTTTGCCATTTGTGCAAGTTAAATTTCAATCAAACTGAAAGTGGTCAAACATCATTATTGTGAAAGCTAAAATGTTGCAATTCAATCATTAGTAACAAGCTAAAACTAAGGCAAGTGATGATTACAAAAATAAGAGTATCTCCGAAGGAGTTGTTATATTGGTTGTCAATTCAAAATATAATAGGTGGGTTAAAATTGAGCTCTTCAATGGGATGCTATATTGGCTGCCAAAATTTACCTTTGCCATTTTTTGTGCCAAATCTAGTAAAACAAATAACAATAGTTATTTCTATATTTTGTACCAAATCTAACAGAAATATATGGGTTTTGAACTTTTGATTACAAAACAAGAAGTACAGACCTTGATATATATATATATGCATACACAAAATCAAGAATTACAGGCCTCGATTAGTTGATTTAGAAAAAAAATTAAACCCATACATACAAGTTAGCAGTTGTAGAGAGAGGGGGCCAAGCTTGAGAGTTGAGAGACAGTGGCTGAAGCTTGCGAACGGCGAACCCGAACTGGAACAGCAGGCGATGGAAACTGAAAGATATGGGTTTTGATTTTTTGAATAATCTGAAATGATACGCCGATACGGGTTTTGATATAGGTAATAGGTTTTGAACTTTGGATTCTTGCAGACAGATAGATAAACTGAAATATATGGGTTTTGAACTTTTGATTCTTGTAGATTTTGTAGTTTGCAATTGCAGAAAGGGAGGGGGGGGGGGGGGGGGGGAGTTCTCAGAGTTGGGAACGAGAATAGAGATGGAGGCGGCTGAAATGATTTGCCCTAAAAATATATATATTTTTAATAATAATATAATCAAATATAATATATATATATATATATAATATATAATATATAATATATAAATTTCTGAAAAAGAAAAAAAATATATTATATAAAAAAATTAATTCACAAATAGTGCTAAAAAAATAATAATAAATTTATTTTTTCTTTTTTTCCTTTTTTGATCAAATATTTTAGATTTTTGCTTCTTTTTAATTAGATTTAATTTTAGTTTCCTTCTAATGTCTACAACTTGACTTGAGTTGGTAAAATGTAGCATTTTGACACTGTAGCACCTGTCAAAATATAGATTTGATATGTGAAAATGACTTTTAGCATTGGAGATTCTCTAAGAGGAAAACAACATTATATTATCTGTTTGGTTAGAGACTTTTCAAGAGTCACTCGGTAGTACTTCAAGTTAAGTACGGTCATAGAAAGGTGTAGAACTTACATATAGTACTTCACCTTTCTCAGACGATATTGGATTATGACACCCTGTAATATGTCAGTACTCGCCCACATCTCACCCACCTACAGAGATTGTTACAAAGAGCTAATTGATCCCATAATTTTTAATGTGCATAAATAAAAAAGAGAGGGCATTAATATTTTTGTAGAGAAAAAGAATAAAGTCATGTTTGTATACTGATTAATGTGGGCACATTTTGGCCAACAACAATGATTGCAGTTATTAGTTTCCTGCATTTTTCTATCATAATTTGATCATTTGGTAAGCTATTTTCTAAGAAAAAATAATGTGGCATGAATTTATGCTTCATAAATGCTATTCACAAATAATATGTTTTCAGTAAAAATAGTTAAATTTTTTTTTTTTATAAATGGCAAAATATATATTACACACGACTTCATAGAGCTACAGTGTGGCAATCAGAATGCTTGCTTTCACCTCTATAATAACAATAATATATATATATATATATATATATATATATATATAACAAAAGACTATATATTAAGAATGTAGCTAGATTACTCTGTAATTATAAGGGAAAATAAAAGACTATATATTAAGAATGTAGCTAGATTACTCTGTATTTATAAGGGAAAATATATATTGTATTTATAAGGGAAAATAAAAGACTATATATTAAGAATGTAGCTAGATTACTCTGTATTTATAAGGGAAAATAATATATATATATATATATATATATATAAATTGCACAACAAAAGACTATATAATTAAGAATGTAGCTAGATTACTCTGTATTTATAAGGGAAAATAATAGCTAGACTCAAACTCCATCCGGTACTTTTGCTTCACAACTTCTTTTGTGGTAAATTAACAAATACATACATACACACACACACGCACACTACAATTTTGAACTTTTGCATCACAAAGATATTCTTAACCTTAATTTTCTAGGAATAATTACATCAGTTAATTTATTAAAAAAGCAAGTAAAGACTAATAGTACAAAAGAGAAGTGGGAACAGCACATCCTATAAAAAATATGGTTGGATTTATTTTTTTACCATATTTGCACGTAATTATGTGCATACATAACTAGTTATATTGATTTTTAATTCTTTTAAAAAATAAAAATAAAAGAAAGGAGAATATTAGGGTATATTTTTCTTGATATTGTTATTTTAAGGGATAAGATCATATAAACCCATGTAGTATTAAATAACTCCAAGTACTAAGCAAAAGTGATCATTTAATCCCATTTCATAATGGATTTATTAACTAGGTTATGAAATGACAAAACTAACCTTACTATTTTAGGCCTAGTTTTGATACACTGGAATGAAATAAAATGAGAATGGAATGAAAAAGCATTCTCATTTTATTGTTTGGTATGAAATGATAATCACTATTCTAAGTGGAGATGGTGGTGGAAGGGTAACAACGGTGGAAGTGATGGAAGGCGATGGTGGTGGTGGTGGTAGAAGGTGACAACGGTGGGAGACGGTGGCAGTAGGGAAAGGCGGTGGAGGCAATGGAAGGCGGTGGCGGAAGGTGGTGACGATGGTGGTGGTGATGGAAGGAGACGACGATGACAATGGAAAGTGGTGGTGGCGGTTATGGAAGGCGAAAGATAGTGGTAGTGGCGGAAGGCAGTGGAGGGCAGCGACGACGGTGATGGATGGCATTAGTGGTGGCAGAAAGAAGTGGTTGTGGTGAAAAATGATGGAGATTGGCGATAGAAGTGGTTGTGGTGGAAAACAATGGCAACTGGTGGCGGTTAAAAATTTCATTGCATAGGTTTAAATGTGGAATGTCCAGCATAGCTAGTGTTTGACAGCAAATCAGTAAACTAACAGGAAGAGAGTAACTTGATGACTTTTCGAAAAGTTAAGGGAGTTCCATGAAATTTACTTGGTACAAGGGGGTTATATGCATAAATTTCATAGTTGGGAGTTTTATGATTTTACCCCAATTCAAGTACCAAACTCTGCCGAATACGACTATATAATTATATATATATATATTAGGGGTTAAATTTTAATTCAACAAAATAGAGTTGGTAAGAGATTGGGGATTATACATGTCATAAAAGGATAATACAGGGGAGTGAAGTTTAATTAAGCCAAATATGTTTGGTAAGAGACAATATAGTATATAGAACAAAGAAACATATGGCCCTTGAGAAACTTCCGCTGCCACAAACCTACCATTCCTAAACGAATAAAACTGCGCCACTTGTCTACAGACTATTGGTCCCCACCATCACGTTCTCTTCCAAGCAACCTTTTCCTAGACGACTGGTAAATAGATAGTACCATACACTCTCAAGCTATTATATATATATATATATATGTATATAACACTCGGTGCTCAATAGCCTCAATCTCTGTCTGAAAACATGAATCGCCGATTCTCTCTCCTCCTCGCTTTCTCTCTCCTCATTGCGACGTCGTTTGTCTCCGCCGACGACTCCAACGTCGACGACAACGACCTTGTAATCCGTCAGGTGGTCAACGACGACGCCGACCACTTGTTGAACGCAGAGGGACACTTCTCGATCTTCAAGCGCAAGTTCGGGAAATCGTACGCCACGCATGAGGAACACGATTACAGGTTCGCGGTCTTCAAGGCTAACCTGCGCCGCGCGCGCCATCACCAGAAGCTCGACCCGTCGGCGTCCCACGGCGTGACTCAGTTCTCCGATCTGACTCCGGCGGAGTTCCGGCGGAAGCACCTGGGGTTGAACCGTCTCAGGCTGCCTGTGGACGCGAAGGAGGCTCCGATCCTTCCGACCAATGATCTCCCGACCGATTTCGATTGGAGAGACCACGGTGCCGTCTCAGCTGTAAAGAATCAAGTATGAAATATATATATATATATATATATATATCCTTTAGCTAGTTATTGAAATTTAGGGCTTTGTGGTGTATTAATTTTTGATTTCATAAATTTATGTTGATTAATTGGCAATTAGGGCTCTTGTGGTTCGTGCTGGTCGTTTAGTGCTACTGGGGCATTGGAAGGTGCTCATTTTCTTGCAACTGGAAAGCTTGTTAGCCTTAGCGAGCAACAGCTTGTGGATTGTGACCATGAGGTTTGATTTTTCTTTGCCATCCTTATGAATATACACAGACTTTTACTTGCATACATGTATCTGTATACTGTATGCACACATATTGCAACTTTAATTGATAATAATATTGAACTAGGAAAACTAGATATATTTTGTTGACCAATTATAGTTTTTCAGGTGGCACTATTGTGCACTTAAATGTTTCTTTAAGTATCTCGACAATACTTCTAAATCAAGATGTAGCTTAGCTCTTCTCATCAAAGCTTTTTCAACTATTTAGGTTTGGCTACATGAATCCCATTTGGCAATTCGTCTCTAAGGCAATTACCTCAATCAAACAATATATTACAGTATTTAAAAAAAAAAAAAAATCACTATCCTTCCTGTAGTTATTGATCTTTGATGCATTTTGGTCATTCATCTCTAACAGATACTGCATATATGCATATTTCTAATTTTGCCTTGGTCAAATGATGATAATCAATTTTCCTTCATTGTATCTTGAACAAGTGCTACTTCAACTATTTCGCAAATATGTTTGTTTCTTATTTTGTTCTTTCTTGTCCGTCATATGTGTAAATTAACTTTTTCATTTTGTACATATTCATTTTATATGTATGTTGTTTCTTAATTGTACGATATTCCATCCCATGAAATATAATCGGTCTTGTATCTGTTTTATAGAATTATTATTAAATTATAATGGTATACATCTGTTGCACAATATGCTAAAAGCACTCCATTTGACTCATCCTGGTTTAATTCTGTCTGCTTTATTCTATGATTATCATCAACTCCAATTCCTCCTTCATGAATAATCAAATTGAAGTAATCAAAATGTTTGTTGTTGTTGTTGTTGTTGTTTCTTGCTATTTTTATCATAACTTTTCTTGTATTTCTAGTTTCTCTAATCTGGCACTTATCTCTGACTTAGTAGTTTCATTAATTAAAGGAATATCATATGGAAATAGTATACACTGTGGAATCTCATCCTTAATAAGTTTTTACAGAGTAAAAAGAGAGAGACTTAATATTGATTCTTGATCAAGTCTGCAATAATTGGGAATTAACTGCTTTCTCCCACAATTATTATAGCCATATTTATGGTTCCATTATACATTTTTTTTTATCATGCCAATGTATATGTTGTATGAGTAACGATGACTACTATTAAATCACAGTTTTCTTCACAAAAGGTACTGTATCAACCATAGAGCGGCAATGTGGGTTCAATTCAAGGAAATACTTTTGGGAGCTATGATTTTATTTTCACATTGGGGGCCTTTGAATTGGTTAAAACTTCTTATGTCATTTATTAATTGTGTTTTTACTGTTGAAGTTGGACTAAGCTGTTACTTGTAAATGTTTTCTTCACAAAAGGTACTGTATCAACCATAGAGCGGCAATGTGGGTTCAATTCAAGGAAAAACTTTTGGGAGCTATGATTTTATTTTCACATTGGGGGCCTTTGAATTGGTTAAAACTTCTTATGTCATTTATTAATTGTGTTTTTACTGTTGAAGTTGGACTAAGCTGTTACTTGTAAATGTTTTTTATTACTGGATGCCAGGGTTAGTTACACCTACTTCCTTCATGAGTCACATTTGAGAAGTTTAAGGGTGATTCTTTTTTTATTTTTTTTATTTCTCCTTTTTATTTAGTTGAATTGAGATTTTCTTTCATATGTTTTGGGTGGATTATTTTATTTTTAATTGGTTGTATTGTCAAGGATGTTGATCATATATATTTAACTCATGGAAATTCATTGTTTACACTCCGCCATGTGGCTCTCGTATTAGCAGCCAAGTGACACCTTTGTCCGGAAAGCTCTGCTGCAACAGTATGATTAGTCCTTATCCTGAAAGGGCAATGACTCCATATCCCATGAAGGACCTTTGTGTTGGATTGACCACGAGACAGAACTGGCCTGAGCCCTTTAAGGATTAGAGGCAAGGCTAAGAAGGGACACATTGATAGGTCCAGGGCCAGTTGGAGTGATGTCTAGAGGGGTTGAATTGATAAATAGAGTTTTGGGGGCTAGCCAAGGTGGTCCCTGTCTCAGATGTGTAGAGGTGGTTGAACACGTATTGGTTAGATCAGAAGGGAGATCTTAATTTATTCTTATGATACGTGGAGTTAGTATTTTCATTTGGGCCTAATGACTGATTGTTATTACTAACCATTTCGCCCCAATTTCAAAGACGCCTTGTAGTCTGCTATTGCTAACCATTTCACCCCAATTCCAAAGCCGCCTTGTAGGCTGCTAGTTAGATTTACTTGTGTTTGGCTTTGGGCTTCCTAGCCCAGTTGTACTCCAATTCATTGGAGTGCTATATATAGTCAAGCAGTCCATCATTTTGGGCAATCAACTTTGAACCATCCGGATTCTTTGAAAAGGATTTGATATCCTTGGCCCTACTACTATAAATCTGGTGAGATATATATATATATTCTCTCTCTCCAATACAAGGACTAGAGGCAAGGCTGAGGGACACATTCACATCGATAGGTCCAGGGTCAGTTGGGGTTATGTCTGTGGAGGTGTTGGATTGACAGATAGAGTTTTTTAGGCTAGCCAAGTTGGTCCGTCTCGGATGTGTTGTAGACTGTAGTGGTGGCTGAACACGTATTTACTGGACCAGAAGGGAGAGCTTAATGTATGTTTATGATACTAGGTGTTTGTATTGTCTTACTCGGGCCTAATGACGGATTGACATTGCTAACCATTTCATCCCAATGTCAAAGCCACTTTGTAGGCTGCTAGTTATATTTACTAGTGTTTGGTTTTGCGCTTCCTAGGCCGGTTGTACTCCAATTCATTGGAGTGCTATATATGGTCAAGCAGTCCATTGTTTTGGGCAACCAACTGGGAGCCGTCTAGGGCAATTGAAAAGGATACTGCGTACTTAGCTTTATAAATCTAGTGATATCTTCTTTTTTTCTTCAGATCACCTGATTACTTATCCGAATCTGACCAGTTGTATCTCCCATCCCATCTAGACTAAAGAACCCCGACCAATAACATATAAATCATTATGGTACCATATTAGAAGCTAGGTTGCATGCTAACCTACATAGTAATCAGTATGCGAAATGATAAATACTGAGGTAAAATTGTAGAAGTTTCTTATGCTAGGAGGAAGAAATTCAATTTTGATGTTGATTAAGTATAATAAGAACAAATGTGTTTGAATTCGCTATAATATTGCCCATCGATGAGAATCTCATTTGAAGATTATCTTTGTCAAGGTTGCAAAATGTTACTGTATGAGAACCTTGCTTCCAGACTCTGATATTTAATGCTCTAGTGAATTGTGAATGGACAAACTTTGTGGTACTTTTGATGTATAGCAGGTATTTATTTAAATCGGGTTTAAGTGACTTTGTGGAGTATAGTGTCTGCTGTCATTTGGCTTATTGTGTTTTTTTGTATATTTCAAGATGTGGCATAGAACAAGTGCATTTTTGTTTGAGTTATACCAGTTAAGTACATTTTTCATGACCACAATAAATAACACAACGATGCCACATGAGAAATATGAAACTTGAATCTTTTCATTTTTCCTTCTAACCGTGGTACATTTACTTATTTTAAGTTGGACATGAGAACAAAGCATATCTTACGCGGTTATCTCTTCATTGTATATGAACTGGCATCAGTGTGCATTTTACAGTAACAGCAATTAACATTAGGCACTTAATTGTGTTCAAGTGAGAAAATAGTTAAATCATATAGCATGCATCTCATTTCACTGCTTACGACGCCACATCTATGTCCATCTAATGTACACTTTCTCCCGTAACGAACATATAAATGCCTATACATGTTAACATTTTGATGACAGTCGTGAATAGCATTGATTTGTATATACAACTGCTGGAGAAGAGAAAGGTGGTTCAATGGATCAGTATTCTCATTTCATTCTTTTAATTTAAGCTTTGTATTGGCTGTAGTGTGATCCAGAAGATGCACGTTCTTGCGACTCTGGCTGCCGTGGTGGGCTGATGAATAGTGCCTTCGAGTACACTCTCAAATCTGGTGGGCTTATGCGAGAAGAAGATTATCCTTACACCGGTACTGATCGTGGAACCTGCAAATTTGATGAGACCAAGATTGCAGCGTCGGTGTCTAACTTCAGTGTTGTCTCCCTTGATGAAGATCAGATTGCTGCAAATCTTGTGAAAAATGGTCCTCTTGCAGGTATGCAACTTCTTATGTTCTGTCCTCAACCGCAAGTAGTTGGGAAAAGACTGTTTGCTATTGATGTCTCGTCTGTCCTTCGTTTTTTTCTAACCTAAAGAAATCTTTTGCTTTTTATTAATTTGTGTTTCTTTCAACATAGTAAGAAATATGTTCCTATAAAAAATGAGAACCCCAACTCAAGTCAACTGCCCCCAATCTTATCTGCTTGATTCGTTACATGCATATATCAGCTCTAGATTTTTTTGGTGTTCTTGTATATGCTTAGTTGGGTAAAATGTTTTCTCCGCTGAATCTTATTATTTGAAAATGAGAATGTTTTAAGCAAGGAAATTTGTCAAATTCTTTACAAGGACATTCATTCATTTCTCATAATTTTAGCCATACACGGCTATTGTACAGTGCATTAGTAAAAGCTTGGACTGCCAAACGTGATAGTGTTGATTTGAATATGAGGGCAATCATTTGTAACTAATGCCACCAATCCCTTCCAACATCCTCAATTAAATTGGGACTGAACTAGATATTGGTCTTTTCATTGAAATATTTGTAGGCTACGTTCGGCTGCATAGAATTGGAGCTTGGAATTTGAGAGAATTTTAGTTCAGTTTTGTGAGTTGCTTTTCTCCAATTCCATGTCAGCCGAACATAGCTGTAGAGATGTCTTTTGACCCAATCCTTGCATCACCAGAAGGTGTCTACTATTGTTTATTGCATGATATTGTTGACATTCCTTTTATTTGCTCCGGATGCAGTGGCTATCAATGCCGTTTTCATGCAAACATACGTCGGAGGAGTTTCATGCCCATACATATGCTCGAAGCGGTTGGACCATGGAGTGTTGTTGGTAGGGTATGGTGAAGCTGGCTATGCTCCCATTCGAATGAAGGAGAAGCCATACTGGATCATAAAGAATTCATGGGGTGAACACTGGGGGGAGAACGGATTCTACAAAATCTGTCGGGGTCGCAACATTTGCGGAGTGGACTCCATGGTGTCAACCGTTGCTGCTGCCCATGTCCATACCCCCTCTCAGTAGGATATGAATTATTGAATTCCAGTAATATTCAGTGTCTGTATATAAGGAGTATTACTATGTAATGCAACTCCCCATTGTCTTTAACTTATTTAGCTCTCAAAAATTCCCAGTCAGGAAACAAATTTATTGTTCATATGTGGTGGTTCAAAACTAAAATGTCCATCTATGTGATGTAGGTTTCATGCTACAATCAGGTGTGATGGTTCTATATCAAAAATCTCAATCTATCTTATGATTTGCTCTCCTCCCCTTACTCTTCTCTTCTTTCCTATTCAAACATATATTAACTATGGGTCCTCTTTATCCTTTAAGCTTAGGTGGTCCAGTGAAAAATGAACACCTGGCTAAAAATATTAAAAAATTAAAATTGGACCATACCCATCTTTTACGGGAAACCCGAAAGATCTATGTGAGTGAATTCATCATCTCCAATCCTCAGGCAATTGATGGCTCCATCGCCGTCACTGCCACCACTTTTTGTGTAAGCATGATCCCTTGCCTCACCGCCGCAGTCACAGGTCCGTAAGTTTCAAATATTTCTTGATATATATTCATCAATGGAAGTTAATTTTTTTCACTAATTACATTCAAATCTCTCTCTCAGGGCGTGGGCAAAACAACTCTGATTATTAGAGTATTGGGAATTCTTTGAATTTCAAACCCTAGCTTAAAGTTTATGGTTTTTTTACTCTAATGTGCTCAAATTAAATATGTAACTAAGGAAACAAAATCATGGATTGTCATCTTCTCCCCTCTAAATACACCTTCCGAACTCTTAACACATTCAAGATAAATGAGTTCTAGACCACAATGGAGATTTGCGGAAGAAGAGTAAGAAGAGATGAAGAGAGAGAAGCGATGCCTATTTCTTTAGGGGTTAACATAAAAGATCGGTCAAAGAAAGATGGGTATGACCCATCTTTAATTATTTTCTAAAATTTAAACCGATGCTTATATTTTAGTGGACCACCTCATTAGAAGGATGAAGTTTATCCTCCTAGTGGAGTACCCAAATATTTTCCGTCAAGGACTAACTATTAAGGTCTCTGAGTGTGCATTGACAACAATAAAAATAAAAATGTAATGTTATTTTTATTCGGCTGAAAATATGGTCTTGCTCCCTATACTTTTGGTAACATCTTGCATTTCAATAAATTCAAAAATAAAGCACGTTTGGCAAGTCCTTTTATTGTAAAAAATTTTAAATAAAAAACATGAAACATATTTGATAAACACTGGTTTGTTTTTGTTTTTACTTTTAAAAATTAAATATATATTGATACAATTATTTTTTTAAAAGAAATTATTCATTAACACTTGAAATAAAATAAGATATGCTTATGATTCAAATGTTTAAAATTCTCTAAGAATTGGTTTTATATGTTGTAGCGTATAGATCCTCAACAAATACTATATAACTTGGAGAATTTGGAGAACTCCTGAGGAAACAATCATGAAGCACGAATAGGATTAGAGTTACTTTTATTTCAGGTCTCTAAAATATCTCCATTATATATGATTCTTGTAAAGATTTGATTTTCTTACCTTTTTGTATTATTAGTGTTATTATGGTGTAAAAATTCCAATATTTCTTTTGTTTTCTTTGTAGTAAATAATCTTGTCATGAACATGGAGACTACTAGTTTGACTTCATTACTTTGAATATTTTGAAACGAAAAGAAAAGAAACATAATTCATTTCAACTCAATCCAAACATTCATTCAAAAACCAATTCATTTAATACTACCAAGTGTATAATGAACAATCCAACCTATTAAAAGTTATACAACCTGTATATAATGAAATTTTCAAAATTGTTTTAAAATTACAAATAGATCCATCCCATCCAACCTATTTTGTTTTTGTTTCTATTATGCTTTGCTCTATGACCTTTCATGCACATAGTGGAGAATGAAAGAGAGAAAGAAAAAAAGGTTATACCCAATGGCAGCTCCGGGCAGGGACGGAGTCAGAAATTCAATCCAGGAGCAGTGTTAAAATAAAATAAAAAATAAATAAATAAATAAAAATCAATAAACATGACAACAAATTTAAATTATTCAAATCAAGAGCCAAAAAGAAAACAGTTATTGCAAAATAATAAATAAATAAAAAAATTTCTAGTTAGGCCACTGGCCCGTTGGTAATAATATGTCAATCAATGAGTAGTATAAAAAAGATAAATAGTTGAAAATTTTTTTTTAAAAAAAAGAAATAGAAAAATAAGAGAACTTTGAAAAGGGAAAATATAAATATATATATATATATATATATATATATATATATATATATATATATGGTGTGATTCAAGAAGAAAAATTTAACCGTTTTTTTTAAGGAAATTAAACGAATAAAAATAGGAAAGAAATAAAAAATTAAAGATATAATTCTAGAAAATAAAAATTTTAGGAGGGCATTATATAAATTTTTTCATAGATGCACATATATATATATATATATATATATATATATATATATAATAAAATAAAATAAAATTGGTGTATATATATAGTTGGCGGGGCCAGGGAGGGGGGCACATGTCCCCAGGCATACATTGGCTCGGCCCCTGGCTCCAAGCAACAGCTAATTGTAACGGCTAATTGCAATGGCTACCTTTGTGCCCTTGGTTTCATTATAGAAGATGCTTTGATTAGATTATTCCATACCACTGGGGATAGCAATGAGACATAGTTGAGGCGGAGTTGGCTAAACTCTACTTCATCCTATTAGAAAATTCGTCATACCAACTCTGCCGTTACTCCAGAACAGGTTTGTAATTGGTATACCATAATCGCCCTACTCCGACAAACAAAATACTGACTCGACAATACGTACTTCATTTATTTGCAGGGCGGGGCGATGTGGGTTATGCCACTTTTATTATTTAGTTTTTTTAAATAAAAAAAATTTGCCTAATGTGCTCAAATTGGGCAATAAATAAGTTGGCCCACTTTTAAATTACTAAATAGTGAATATTAATATTTAACTAACATTTCGAGCAAAGTTTTTTTTTTTTCATTGCCAAAAAACTCACACACATCACTCACACCCCCACTTTGTTCATTTGGAGACTCAAACTCTCACTATCCCAATGAGATACCATTGGACCACAAAACCCTTGGTTTCTAACAAAGTAATGAGGGTCTTAAAAATATTATATATATATATATATATATACACACATATATTTTTTAAAGGTACATATATAATCGGGACAGGGCAGGTTAATCACTAAATCCGCCCATGCCCCAAACCCGCTTCGGGTTTTCAATTGTTTCACCATATCCGTCTCAAACTCATTTTAGGATGCTACCAAATCCGCTCCATTAGAAGCGGAGTGGGGCGGGGCGGGGCGGGGCGGGGCAGAAACTTAATGCTTGTAAGCCATTTTTGGAGGGTTTGAGGTGAGATTCGTGAGAAGGTCAAGAAGTGAGTCAAAAAAAAAATTTAAAAACATATTGTAATAATTTAAAAAAATGATCAAGAAAATTTTGAAAAATAAGGTAACTTCTGATAATAGGTCACTCAATAAGGGTTTTGGGGAAAATAAAATGTAACGTGAAATATATAGGAATATTAACAACTAACTGTATTTTCTGAAATTGAAATTCAAGTAAAGTACGCATAAAACGAATTTGAACAATCTTAAACTCAGATGGAAATGACTCAAAAAAGAGAGAAAATATATTCAAAATCGTTAACATACCACCAACTCAATAAAGTTAATATTCAAAATATATATATACACACACTTTAAAGAGAAAAGTTATGACATCTCCAACACGGTTTGTCAAGTCTAACACATTAAAGCAAGATGTCAATCTGAAAAAGATTTGGCATTTACATTCATATTCACGTTCATATTGGCACATAAAAAAGGACAGTGCACCTACTATATTCATTTCATCTTTTACGTTGGAATAATTTTATGGACCACACAAAACCAATAATGCATTAACGCCATTGAGGCATTGACCCTTCACATATGTTTTTTGTTTACTTTATTAGGAAGAGACACTAATTTATGGACACGCTAACTTTCTCAATTCCTGGCGATGTCTTACTTCTTCAGCTGCCACTGACGACGAGAGGTCATCTTCACCATGCGAAGGCGAAGTCTGTCTCTTGGAATGTGCTCACACACTCGTTTGCTATAAGAAAGGATTTAGTCTTAGGCTATAAGAAAAAAGAATGTTAAGATCCTTCATACACTCCAACCACACACTCCAACCACACACTCGTATTTGAAGAAGTAAAACATAAAATTTATGTCTGGTTTCATTTGAAATAGAAATGGCGTTTTTGTTGTGAAGTTTATCCATTTGTGAATGAAAACAAGTTCGGTAAGGTAAACTCGTGAAAAAATAAAAATAAATAGTTAAATAACAAAATGGGTAATTAAAAAATTTCATTGCTAGAGTAACAATAAGAAACACAAATCTTTTGTTTCCTATTTGAACTTCTTTCATCAACAAACAAACGTGGTGCCATTCAAATGGCAACAACTGGTAACACGCAACAAAATAACAAAAACCGATGCCAACCAAGCCACCCTTAATAAATATGTAATTGTCTAAGGAAAAATAATTACCTAAATATATAAGCTCTACTTCCAACAACACTGTTTAATTTTAGTTTCATTCAAAACTTCTAAATTTTTCAAATTAAAAACTTTTTTAAACTATTGAAAAACAATCCCAAATAACTATTGCAGCTATGGTCGAAATGACTCTTATGGAGTACTAAAATAATACTTAGACAAAGCAACCTTTACCAAGGAACCTTGCAAAATGCAATAAGATCCTCATATACGCCATAACCTTTTTAAAATAAAATTGGATTTTTGGTGAACTTATAAACAAGTGGAGTCAAAGTTCGCAAAACTGTTCTTTAATTATTTTATTTGACATCATCTTGTGCGTGTCTTCGGTTAGCATTAAATTTAGAAAGCATAAGGAAAGTTGGATAAATATTCAATTTTAATTACAAAAAAAAATTGACGTTTTTCTTGTGAAATGCGTTCATTTGTTATTGAAAGCAAGTTTGATAATGTAAAATTTTTGACAACATAAAAAGAAAAAAAATCAAAAAGGCTAGTTAAAAGAGGCCAACTAGATCACCGCTAAATCTTTTGTTTTCTATTTTGACCCTTTTTTTTTTGCAACAAAGGTGATCCTATTCAAATGGCAACCAGCAATCGCTGTAGCACACCACCTGCAACACAAAACAACGCAACAAAAACGGAACCCTAAATAATACACCAGCAACAAACTTACAGAAAAGTAAAAAACATAAAACAAATTCGAACTACAATGGCTAAACAACGGTAGGTTTTTGTCTCTGGTTCTGTTTACCTTTTGATATCTTCGTGTTTGTTTGTATACTATATAAAGTTATTCCTTTAATTTAAATGGCAATAAAGTTATTATTGATAACTAGAAGAAAGAGAATACAGCTCATAGCAGAGAGTTTCCCCTTCCCTGAACAACCCATAAAGAACCCCAAAGAAAGGAAAAAAAAAAATGTAAGTTCCACATGATGGTTGTAACTACCACCATAAACACAGGCAGCCTCAATCGGAAATAAGCTTATTAAACCTCGCAATACAAATATAAACAACAATTCGGATAAGGGGCAGCCCCTTCCTCCCGCGCGCTTAGAAGGTGAATTCCCATCAGTACTCCGAGCTTCTTCGTCCAAATAAATATGCACACAACTATTTTGTCGACGACAGCTAAAGCTTCAATGAATGTATCATTCCTCCTCATCCCCGAGTAACGAAAATGAAAACGGAAAGAACTTGTATCCATCTCCCTCGTAGAACTTATTCATAAATTCCACCCAATGAAGACGTAATGCATGCAGGAAAGCGCTGAGAGTTTCCATCACTAATAACACACCAACAGTTGCGAAGACGAACACAATGATACCGATGGCAAGGATAAATACATTATTGTACCTGTGGGACATACAAAGTAGAACAATGTTATTGGTTTCTTAATATTGCAGTCATTAGAAAGAGAGGTGATTCAGTACCCTCTGCAGTCCAAAACTGAGTGCAGAGAATATGCCAGCCAGAAATAGGATGCATTCATAAATGAGAATTGCTCAAATGCATTAAAATTATACCAATTCCAAAAAATAACAACGGAGACCTAATTTTAATGCTCCGTTCGGTAGGAAAGAAAAAAATTGGATGGAAGGGAGATAAGAAGGGATGGATGAGACATCCCTAGGGAATATTGTGTCTTTCTTTCTTTTTGTTCGGTTGGATGAAAGAGAAGAAACTCACAATTTATTATGTTAGTTATGAAAGAAGGACATATAACATTTTAAATTATTTTTACCATTATGTTCAGTAATATTTTTATATTGTAATGCATAGAGGATAATATTGTAATGAGAATTGCTCAAATGCATTAAAAATTATACTAATTCCAAAAAATAACAACGGAGACCTAATTTTAATGCTCCGTTCGGTAGGAAAGAAAAAAATTGGATGGAAGGGAGATAAGAAAGGATGGATGAAACATCCCTAGGGAATATTGTGTCTTTCTTTCTTTTTGTTCGGTTGGATGGAAGAGAAGAAACTCACAATTTATTATGTTCGTTATGAAAGAAGGACAGATAACATTTTAAATTATTTTTACCATTATGTTCAGTAATATCTATAATATTGTAATGCATGGAGGATAATACTGTAATTTAAAACTTGAGTAATTTGGAATAGTATTTAATTTAAAATTTCTATAATAGTTCATTTTTCTTCCCCCTCTCTTCCACCCATTTTTGGACGGATGAAAATTTGTAAAGAAAAAAGGATGACACATCCCTCCTATTATCCTTTCTTTTCTAGTATCATCTCTCCCGAACAAATGAAGTTTGTTTCTTCCTTCCTATTTTCTTTCCACACCTCTTACTTCCTCCCTACCGAACAAAGCACAAGTGTTTTTGAGATTAACTGGTCTAGTCTCCACATGTGACGGTTTAATAGAAAATGAGAATTTGTGATATAATTGGCCACACAAAAGCCAAGAAGCAGATAGAAGTATCTACTTACCCCCAAGCTAGAAGAAGAACCTTCTCATAGAATACACTGGACAATTCTGAGTGGGCAAGGCTGAACAGAGTAAAGAAAAGAAGATTATATGCATAATTATCCTCAATTGATAATTCAAAAGATCATAAAATAGCGGGATAAAATCTGAGTGAATTAAGAATCGACTGTAGACTCATGTATAATCTCCTGTTTTCAAGTCAAGCAGGAGAACTGGATTGAGGCAATATGGAATTTTGTGGCATACCTGAGTGCCCACAAACGAAGGTATGAAGCTGTGTTTGAGACTGCTCCAAGCACAAACTCTATGGTATGAATGAGTTGATGCACAAAAACTTCACTAAACTCAAATTCTTCGTGACCGTGACCATGCGAATCATGATTTACTTCCACCTGTAAGGATTCTTCTGTACCATGAAGCGGCTCATAGGACTGACCCTGGTGTCTCTGAAGAAGCATGACACATATGAAAAAAACACTATATGGTCTTTATAAATAAAGAAAAAAGGGAGAGAAAAAGAAGCATACATCTTGGTGCTGTTTCTTCAAAATAAAAGGCTTTGGCAGCAGCATCCACGGGACAGCAACAAGGGACATCAGTAGAAGCACAAGCTGGCAAAAGAATACATGAAATGAGCTGAGCTGAATGTACACATCTTATACGTATGGAAAAAACAATCAAAATATATAGAATTTTAGCTTAAAGAAAGAGCTAACCTGAAGTGTTTTCTGGCCAACAAAAAGCTGGTTTTCACCAAGATCATCAGTAGGACTCAGAAACATGTATATCATTACGTGGTATAAATCAGCTTTTGAACCAGTGCACCATTTTAAAATGATCAGGAGTGAAAGATAGCCAAACAGGCCATTTAAAAATATCATCTGAGGAATAAATTGGAACCTGGAAAGATGAATGATTAGTGTCTACATATGAGCGACATACAAATTAATACACAAGCAGATGCATCTCATTTTACACCATAACACTTGCAAAATCAAGTCATGAGCAAAAATACATTGAATTACATATGTATTATACACGTCCATAACTGTGAATGGGTTAGGTTTATATTAATTATAATGATAGCTTTGAAAAAGATTCAAATATGCTCAAGGTCACAGTAGGCATGACTGCAAGGACTGGTATTAGTATACCAAACTCATTAATCAGTCCTTTTTAAAAATAAATAAAGAACTTACCAAATGTTCACGCTACTGCGAAAGAATCTGGCATTAAAATAACTCAATATGATTCCAAGGTTCATTTGGGCTACCCCAAGAAGGATTGACATTTTCATCTTTAATGAGTTGAGAAATGGCAATTCACTACGGGAACCATGCCATACAGGATCCAAACCAAATGGGTAGGTGTCACCGACCTTAATCAAGCCTTGAGTAGTAGCATCCCTGAAACAAAATGATTCTTTCTATAGAGAGCATACAACAGGTAAAGGTGTAAAATATGTTTTACCAAAGGCTTTTGTAGAATACCTGCAAGAAAAGTCACGGCACGCATATGCCGAGTTACTAAATAATCCGAATGGGACTGAAAAGAACTCATTATAGATCAAGCCCGTGTAGATTGAAAAGAGTGACATCATCAAAATAACATAACGACCACCGAATGTCATTTCTGTAATGTCTCCAAGCTTCTGCACTCACCAAAATCATAATACAATCAGTTTTCAACCATAAGCAGAAAATTTAGAAAGCTGTGGACTAAAAAAAAAAAAGGATTATTTGACGTACTATATGGAAGTCAAAACTCTGCTTGAAAGGAATGACTTACACAGATTGGTATTGTTATTAGCTGACTAAAAAGTAAAACTTAAGAAGAGATCTCTCAATGGATTATCAAGATGTATGTTAAACAAATTATATTCCCTTGACTAACAGGGGTATGGCATGACATCAACAAATACAGCCTCTACAGAATTTTCTGGATGCAACAATTAAACGTAGTAACTGACACATAAAATGCTCAACATAGCTTCAGGTGCAAGTACATGTATATGCATATATGTATATCTTGATAGAAGGGTTAATTGGTTAACAAAAATTTCAATATTTGCAGGCAAAAAGATTAGTAATGTAAAAATAAAAACTTAAAAACACACTTCTACAGAAACCATTACTGTTGAAACACAAATGTTGCAATGAAGGAAACCTTAGTAGTATAACTAGTAGTATAAATTATAATGGCGTCTACAGAAACCGATTGAAATGAAATAATGTAACTACAACACATTATCTAATCTCCAACCAAGTTTAAAATGGTCATCCATCACATATGCAAGTGGCATTGAAAAAACATTTAATGGTAAGAGATTCCTGTCATTCACTAACATGATTCCTATGTTTAACTTCAATGAATAAATGTGAAAAACTTCAAAATATATTAGATGTTGTTATCATTCAAACTTTTAACACTCAAGTCTAAATGAAACATGCCCATCCAACATGGAAACAGGAATAATCAGAACAAACTTCCCTCGGCATCTGTAGTCTACTTAGAAGATATATATGTAAAATCAATGTTGCATAATATCCACAGATGCTGTAAAGGGTTCCTCAATTTAGGGGGGGGGGGGGGAAGAAGAATGGGGTTACTATTTTTTAAATGTTTAAAACATTGACTGAATGCTTAGATGTTGATATCTCTAATGAAATGTTTAAACTTTCTATATGTACGGTTTCTTGCTCTCTTGTTGCACAGATGATGGTTCTATTGAAATAGGAAAGGGAATGTTTTGTTAATATTGATGGATGAACACAAGAATTCATTGCAAGATTTGAACCGACCAACTTCAAATTAATAGTTGCATCTTTCCAGGGCTGGGTAGTCAGACTAGTTCTTTTCTCTCTCTCTCTTTTTTTTTTTTTTCTTTTTATTTGGGGGTGGGGGGTGGTTTCCTTGTTCCTGTCCTCTTTCTATGTGATTTTGCAGCAAGAGGAAGGATCACCACAATTGCCTCCTTTTTGGAGTAGAAAAAAGAACAATAGAAAACAAAAAATCTTTAATCAACTGGTTGATGCCAATAATTGACTTGGTTGAATGAGAAAAAAAAAATGTAAAAAACAGAAAACACTAAACTCAGAATTTTGTTCTCTTTTTTGTCCCTTGGTTTTCTCAGCAATCAAACGAGAACAAAAGATGCGTCTGAGAGAGGAAGGGTAGTATTTACCAATGCAGTTGAGTGTGAAACTGGCCTGAGTGTGGTCAGAAAAATATATATACATATATAAGATATTTGTATATAGAAATATAAACGTACCAGTGATCTTAACATAGATATATGTTGAGTTTGATGTTGGCACGCTACATATATATATATATTATACATCTAAAGATATAGATATTTATTGTTTGGGTTGGCTTATGGATCAAACAAAAAAACCCATTTTCTGTACCCATTTGCAAACGGGTTGTATATGGATCAAAATTGATCCAAGGGAAATTTTGTCAATAAAAAGGGCATTATTGTACTTTCAGAACTTAAAATTTTACACCTACAGCACATGATCTCTTTTTAACAGTCAATATGATGGGGTGCAAAGTGCAATCTTTGAGATAGATGAGGGGGGTTAACCGCCAAAAAAATTAGTTGAGGGGGGTTGTTGACCAAAAATCAATAACTTCAGGGGGGCTTACTGCAATTTACCCCAACTTTTACCATTGAGGAAAAGGGAAATGTGCATATTATATCAGATACAATTTGCCGGTGACACAATAATCTTTTCCAGATAAATAGATTATTGAAGTCAACTGTATGATCTTGAGTTGATGCCTTTCCTAAACATTTAAAGTTTTTAGTTAGATTTTAACAAGGTACAGAGTAGATTACTTACCAGGGAAATACAGAAAAAAAAAAAAAAAAAAGGTACAGAGTAGATTACCTGACTGGATAGCTTCTTTTCCCTGATTATAAAGTATAATGTCGCAAGTAACAAGCATATACCATGTCCCCAGTCACCAAACATGACAGCAAAAAGAAAGGGAAATGTAACAATAGTGAATACACCAGGATTTGCTTCTTGATACTTGGCCACCCTGAAATCAGGTTAAATCACAACCTTTTAGCTTTAAGTGAACATTACCTCTGTAATTTTATTTGGCAAATGAAGATCACAAAATTTTAAAGTACCATATGAACATAGAAAGCTCAAAGAAACTCATGCAACATAACTATAGAATCTGATCGTACAAGAAAAAAAATAATGTAATTATTTCAGTCCAAATAATTTAATTATGCATACATAGAACGAGCGGTCAAGGGAAACTATGGAATGCATAGAAGTTGGTGTCTAATGAAATAAGCAATTGAAACTCTGGAAATTCATCATTTGGCTTAAATAACTGGTAAGGAGTACTACAGGCCAACATGGTAAATTTGTGTCACTTTTAACAATAATGAATACTTCATTTTTACTATTATACAAATGCATGATTCATTGTCCCTATAACACTAAATAAAGAGATTCTGATCAGTAACCATTCAGCACCTACATAACTTGGAATTATACTGCAACTAACGTGTCTAAGCACAGTTCAACCACTTCTTCCCCGCAATGAGCGTGTGTTTTAGGTTCCCTCGAGTCTTCTGTTATGAAGGCTCTTAATTATGTTATCACCATTATGTCCTTTTCTGTGTTTCCAGAGTTTAAAAACCAAAATGAAATTCAACAAAGTGCATCACAATTATTGGTTGGGTAAAATGTACACAAACTTGAGCCCCTATAATTATTAATGTTTTCAAATCCAAATCCTGACTGTACTTGTCAGTGGGAAAGGGAACCAGCCATTCAATCGAAACATCACTAGGTAATTTAGTAGAATAAACTATCTAGATAAAGATGGCTGTTTTTTTATTATAGCATCAAGCATTATCAGCCCAATTTTAAACAGAAGTAACTGTACGCTGAAGAAGGTAGTTGTTCTTGCCCCTTTTGTCACCAGATGTGCCAGCTTCAATTCTCAATATAGTGAATCAAGTCATGATCAGTCTCTTCGCCTCATCAAAATCATCATTGATTTCTCCTTTCCACTTTTAACACATTCTAGTGTCAGAACTTGGCCAAGTAGAGTTTTACTTGATTGATTCCAAGTTCTTTGTTACTTCTGCCAATGAGTCCTCAAAGGTGACTAGCATTTATACCATAAAATATCAGCTTGAAGTTCCTTCAGTTCTTTCATTTTGAAGTCACAATTTCCAAGAACTTCCATCTTTATGGATAAAAGGTAATTGAAAATATTTAGGAAAAAAAAAAAAGGTAATTGAAACATGTTTGAGATAAAAGCTCTTAGCATTATAGCTACCCAGTATACACCATTTCTCACACCAGAATCTCACCTACTACCCTCCCCACAACAAAGTGAACATTATTTGAAGAACTCCTACCAAACTCTCCTATGCCTTCTATAGGCTAGCTCCATAAAGAAAGTTCACCCCCAACTTAATCCAATTCCGTACTCACCATATTCAGTTGCCAAGATGTCCTTCAACAGTTGTTTCATTCCCAAGCATAACTCCATAATTTCCTAATAACCTCTTAAATAAGCTTTTCGATCCCCATACCCCAGATTGAATTAGGAAGCAAACGAAATCGCAGTCCACGAAATGATATCCAAATTCTTCCACAATCCTCCCCCACAGGAAGTCCCTTTGCAGTTCTTCCAGTCATTTGTCCGTAGGCGTCCTTCAGTTCATTATTTAGATAAGAACTGCCTATTCCATCCTGCCAACCTCTTCTCATATATTTTTATTGCCAGGTCCCTATTGTTTTAATTTTGAAAGAGGATTGCAAAGGTAAACCCATATTAAAGAATCGAAATGTTACCCAAGGCTATGATGCGTTACGCTATGTCCCAATTAGACCTAGAGGACGGGTCAAAAATACTTACTCAACCCTAATTGTCAATAATCTATTTTTGAATTTTACTATATTATTCTAATTATTAATTCAAATCCCTCAATATTTATGTTTGAAAGGGGATTGCAAAGGTAATTAAAGAATGGAACTGTTACCCAAGGCTATGATGTGTTACGCAGTGTCCCAATTAGACATAGAGGGCGGGTCAAAAAAACTTACTCAACCCTAGTTATCAATAACCTATTTTTGAATTTTACTATATTATTCTAATTATTAATTCAAATCCCTCAATATTTATGTTTGTGTTTTTAAATCTGATTGATCATTCACACATATATAATAAAAGTAATAATAAGCCAAACAAAGCAATCACATGATTCACACTAACACAACCAATTTACGTGAAAAACTCCAATGGGGAAAAAAACAAGGGACCTTACGCACAAGGGATAACGATCTCTAGCTACTGGGGTTATATTCCCTTGCTCCCAGCATCAAGGGGGATCAATCCTTACGCACAAGGGATCGAATCCACCATATGAAGAAATGTGTTGTAAACTAGGTAGGTAGAGGTTCCACAACTCTAGATTCATCTAGTTACCTCAGATCTAGATTCACGCCTTCGGACTCTACACTGTCAATCTACAAACCCACTCCTCAAGTGATTCAGCTTTCACCTTATGATTGATCTCCTCTACTAGTTGACCAAATACCAGGTGTTGCTTGATGAACAAGTAATGTGATTAGGTGCTTATTACTCTCTAAGGATACAATTATTTCAGTTATTTGGAATAACATTAAGATCATATTGTTACACCTCTATGCATCTGGTGGTATTTATGGCTTGAAAGAAATAGGAGATCCTTCGAAGGAAATGAGACTTCTATGGGGGAGTTCAAGTTCTCTATTATTAACACTCTTTTTGTTGGGTTATAGGGAGATATTGTATATCCATGGAGGAGATAGTTGATTTTTTGGACTCTTTGAGAGTTTAGAGGCCCTATTAGGCCTCGTGTATTTCTTGAGGGATGTGTTCCCCTTTTGAACACTTCTTTTATAAAATCATTACTTATAAAATAAATAAAAAAATCTCTCAAATGTGTGTGATACAGAAATTTTAAAAATGCACTCTTAATCTCTACATGAAACCATATATAATTTTTTGCATCAATGTTCTCTTCTATATGTTTTCAAAACCCTAATATAGGAATATGTATATATATAGGTTTTGGTAGAGTGTCCACAAGAAATAAACTTTTAGTAACTTTTTCTGGCTGAATAAAATGAGAAAATTGGTGTACCAGGTATTGAGATCAATCTCTAGCTAATGGGGCATTCCCTTGCTCACGGCATCTGAGCGATCGATCCTTTTGTACGAGGGATCGATCCCTCTACCAACTAGTTTTAACCTGTTCTGCAACTAAACACATTTTTATGCAATCAAAACATTGTGAACTACTAAAATTAGACCATAGATGAACAACAATTAGAATAATTGTGTCCTCAATCAAATTCAATTCTTAACCCTAAACGTGAGTGACCGGCAAATGTTACTCAATTTTACCTGTGAACTACGAAGCACAGACACAGACACGGGACACTGGTATGACACGACACAGAGACGGCAATACTGCAAATTTAAATAAATAAATAATGACACGAACACAGCAAGGATACGGCAATAAAATACTACCTCCGTCCCAATTTAAGTATCCTATTTTGAGAACCGTGATGGCAATACTGCAAATTTAAATAAATAAATAATGACACAAACACGGCAAGGATACGGCAATAAAATACTACCTCCGTCCCAATTTAAGTGTACTGTTTTGGGAACCGTGACGTCACGGTTCCCAAAACAGGACACTTAAATTGGGACGGAGGGAGTAATAATTACTTTTTTATTATATATAAAATTTTAATTTTTGCTCAATTTATAATCTATATTCATAAAAATAACCCATTTAAATTAGGCCCACTAGACAAGCCATACTTCTCTTCAAAAACATAAAAGTCCACCAAGGCCTAAATTTCATTAAATTCACGATTCTCGGCCTCTCTCTTCATGTCTACCAGCCAGACATCTCTCTCATCTCCTCCCATCTCTTCAACTCTCTTTTCCTCACTCTGTATCTCGTTTCTCTCTCTTCTAGCCATTCATCTCTCTGATCCCCTTCATCTCGTCTATTCACATATTTAGTTTTATCTCCCTTGTATGACTATGCAAATCTCTCTTTGAATGAATACAGACATGCACAAACACAAACACACACTCACATGCATATCATCTTTATCATCACTTTTTTTCTATTAGAAAAAAAAAAAAAAAAAAAAACACGTATCTGAGCCTCGGACATGCGTCCGACATGGATACGGCACCCCTAATGGGCGTGTCCATGATTTAGAGCCTGTGAGCTTCAATATTGTTGATAATATTTATGTCATCTGTGTTGGAACAAGAGGTAATCAATTTTTCCCAAGCGACCCAAAAAATAAAAATAAAATTACAGACTCTGGCTTTCGTTACAAAATCTGCCAACCTATGACACCAAGTCCTCGCACAAATAAGTCAGAGGAAGAGAGCCTAATTTGCATTTTTAAATATAAGTCAGCAAAATAATATCAGTAACCTATCCCAATGGTATGAGCTCCATCTTCCAAATAACAGAATTCAATCCCGATATTGCCTAAAAGCATTGAAGCACGCACTGCAACTATTTAAGCTACTCTTCCTCTGCCCCACCACTACATTTGTTATTCTTTTGAAAGAGGTTACATATGTAACCTACAGGAAAGGACTAATCATGTGTATTAAAATACAATATCATACTATGTTAAGACAGTGTTGTCAAAGGCACACGCCTAGGCTCCAGGCACAACACTTGTGCCTGTTGTGTACCCAGGTGTGCCTTTGACAACATTTGCACCTTAATATGGAATATGAGTATGCTTTAATAGTAATTTAATTTTTTAACTGTGCACCTCGCTTCACTCAAGCGCGCATCTCGCCTCGTGCCTAGGCTCCAAAGGACCTCTGGCGCCTTAGTGCGCCTTGGGCCTTTGATAACACTGTGTTAAGCTGACAAAATGCTTCCTTTTTTGTAAAATGCCAATGCCATCCATCTACTTCATTCAAGATCATCATTTTGCTTTTCATGTTCAATCACATATAATAAAGAAGTGGAGAGAAATGGCTTCTCTTAGGTGAATATTTCATCCAGGGAAGCAAACAACCCATTCGAAGATGATTTGTTTCTTCTAAATGAGTATATATTGTTAGGTTTCAACAACCTGGTATCATTTATTTGCTTTTGGGGAAAGATGACCTAGTACCAAATTTTTAAGAAACAATAATTACAACTCCGGTAGTTCTGGAGTTTAGGTATGCGTACTTAACTCAGCATGCATATGGATATATATATATATATATTGATAAGTGCATGCATATGGATATTACCTTCAATAACGATAATACTTTAATATTTAAAAGGCCACAATACTGAAAACGATCATAGAATAAAACTCACCCATATGCATCAACAATCTCTTGGAAAGCAGAAGTAAATTTGTTTGTCTGGAAATATGTAGGTGGCAACTCTTTTGTATACAAAACCTGGAAAATGGTTCCAACTTGTGAGTTTGAGTCATATGTTGCCCGCTGCAATGCATCCTGAATCTGCACAAATTAAATCCCATCTTGTTCTGTAAGCAGTCTTATACGTAAATTGTACATGATAGGTGATCCATGATGGGAAACAAGCATCAAAATAACATAGTTTGGATGAAAAAAAGTACCTGTTTTGTTGCAAAAACAGGACTCCAGCCTTCCGCCACCAGACACTTCTTTGTTACATCGATGCTAAGCATGTTTAAAGTGTGGTAAATAGATTTCTCTCTCCTCACCTTTATGAATTAAAAAAGAAAATAATATAGTTAATGGCTGAATATGCATTTTCAAAATTGCAGAATATATAATTTATGATTGAATTTTGATTAAGTGCATCAAAAAGATTTTAGTCCATGTTAGATATATAGAAATGAAACTTCATCGCATCAAATAACTTCTGACAGACCAAAAGGTTCCACTGCTCGAATTGTTCACTGATTGTTCGCAACAAATTGTCACGGTGAAGCAGTCCAGCATCAATCGTAGTCTTTAGTTCTGAGAGTCTGTCAGATACCTGAAAATTTATGCGGTTAGAGATGTCAGATTAAATTGTCAAGCACACAAACGGGAAAGGTGTTGCTCAACCAAAATAACAAACATACATACCAATCAACAGAAATTGTGAAGAAAAATGCTAATAACATACAAAATAAAGGGAGAAAAAAGAGAAGAAGAAATTTCCTTTTTTACGGCATGAATGAAATTTATTTCTATTCTAAGATGCTTTGAGCATGAATAATAAACTTATGCACGTGATCCAACTATTTCTAGCGAAAAGACAGTATGGATCAAAAGGGGCGATTATGTTGTGTAATGGAATGGTAAAAGCTTGGGTTGCCAAGCATGAGAATACGAGTTTGAACATGAGCGCAGCCACTTTGCGCAAACAATGCCGAAGATTAATATTGTGAAAAGTGAGATTGTGCAAGTTGGGGAGGTTGAGAATATCCACGACTTAGCAAATATTACGGGGTGTAGTGTTGGGTCCTCTCCGATTTCCTATTTGGGGTTTCCCTTCGGAAATTCGATGAAGAGGGTTTCTGTTTGGGATCCAGTTGTCGAAAGATTTCAGAGGAGGCTTTCAGGATGGAAGAAACAATACTTGTCGAAAGGGGGAAGGCTTACCCTTATGAAGGGCACTCTTTCGAATTTTCCTACCTACTGTAAGTCCCTTTTCCCGATGCTTATGACGGTGGTTCGTTGTCTTGATCAGATTCAGCGGAACTTTTTTGTGGGGAGGCATGGGAGACGAGTTCAAGTTCCATTTGGTTAATTGGGAGAGAGTCTGCACCCCTATTAGGAAGGGGGGTTTGGGAGTCCGAAAGCAGGAATTGTTTAACAAAGCCTTGTTGGGAAAATGGCTATGGAGATTTGGGGGTGAGAGGACTATTCTTTGGAGGCGTGTTATTGCATGCCAGTATGGGGAAGATTATGGAGGGTGGTCTTCTAGGGAGGTGAGGTCGGCAGCAGGTGTGGGTTCCTGGAAATTTATCCGGAAAGGATGGAATGAATTCTCCAAAACAGATCCGGTTCAAAAATCAAAGTGGGAGAAATGTCAGCTTTTGGGAGGACCATTGGTGGGGGACTTTGCTTTGGCTCATAGGTTTTCCTCGCCTTTTCAAGATCTCTGTGAATATGTTGTGGTTGCTGACCATTATCGGCTCAATAATGGGAGGGTGGCTTGGGATGTGCAGTTTCTTAGAGATTTTAATGATTGGGAGCTTTTGGAGGTCTCAGATTTCCTGGGTTCGATCTATAGGCAGGTGGTGGAGGGCATGGGTATGGACATTATGGTGTGAAAGGGAACCCCGAGAAGGATGTTTGAGGTTAGGTCATTTTACCAAAGCCTCATGGAGCCTTCAAGCCCCACCTTCCCTTGGAAAGCTATTTGGAAGACTAAAGCCCCGTTGAAGGTGGCTTTCTTCGCTTGGACTGTTGCCCTTGGGCGATTCTCACTCTCGACAACCTCAGAAGGAGGTGTCAAATCGTGGTGCCAGGAGAATCTGTGAATCATCTTTTGTTGCAGTGCCTGGTGGCAAGGGATATTTGGTCTATGTTCTTGGTCTTTTTTGGTATGGATTGGGTTGTTTCGGGGTCCACTGTGGATATGTTAAAGGCTTGGAAAGGGTGTACAATGGAGAGACAAGTCAGAAATGCTTGGAGGGCCACTCCCCTTTGTTTATGGTGGGGTTTGCGGCATGAGAGGAATAGGAGATCCTTTGAGGGCGAGGAGTCCCTTATTTGGTCTCTCAAATTCAAAATACTATCTTCTCCAATGGGCGAAACTGTATATCTTTGGATAACCTTTTGGATTTTGTAGATAGCATGAAATTGTAATGTCGCCTTGGGTGCCTTTTGTTCTTTGGTAGTGTTCCCCTTTTGAGTGCCTTTAATGGATTTTATTTATAATAAAAAAATAAAGGTACTAACACTAGGAAATGGCCTTCATATGATAAATTAGAACATTCGGCAAATTGGTGTTAGCTAACAGCTTAGCGATAGACATACAGAAACAAAAATGATTTCCTTTTGGGCTACACAATCCAGCTTTCATCTCCACAAAGTTAATACATCAAGCAAATGCATGTCATACAGAAGTTGATCTAGTACCTTTATGTACCCAAAACATGTAAGCACACGATTGAGGTCAAAAAAACAAAAAAAAATGTCTCTTTCTAATTAAAGTTTTCACCAGCTACCTCCTCATACATGACACTGTTTATATGCTCTCATAGCTACCAAACTTACTGTAACGGGTCCGGCACTTGACATCCAACCCAAAAGCTTAAGATTTTAGGTGGAGCTGCCTATCCGTTCATTCAAATCCAATGTGAGACAAGGACCTCTAACATTCTCCCCCACCCGAACTTACAACGCCCTCGTTGCAGTCGGACAACCCTGCTTACACGTCCCCTAATGGTGGAAGGGCCCATTAAAGACCAGACCAACACTACCTAGGTGGGCGCTTGGCGTGACACTAGATCAAGGACTGCACCACTTGTAACGGGCCAGGCGCTTGCCATCCGACCCAAAAGCTTAATTTGTTTGGTGGAGCTATCCACCCACCTTATAAGCCCAAGACCCTCCCCATCCAGATCCAATCTGAGACAAAAATCTCTAACACCTACCATCTTAGATGACTAGCTTCTTTAGTTGCAATTGTCAAGAACAGCATGAGAAACCTTGCACATTTCTTTAAGCACCAGCATGGAGCTCGAAGAACGTTCAAGCTAACCCTTGTTTATTTTAAAACATATCTGGGTTATGAAACATGTTGCATAATGGGAACACCCTAATATTTACTGGAATATCTTTAGGATTAACATTCACAAGGGTTTGACAAAAAGTTCGCATTGACAAAGTCAATCAAATGATCCTTTATATCCAAATGCTGATTTTGTTGTTCAACTTACTCTTTGTAAGGAGGAGGACATCTGCAAAGGAATTTCAGAGTTCTTTGAGAAGTTGTTCTTTGAGACTGTTATATGGAGACCTTTGCTTAAAGGGTTGCAGTTTGCCTCTATTTCTGAGGAGGAGTGATTGGGTTTGGAGGTGCCTTTTTCTGAGGAGGAAGTGCTGATTGCTTTAAAGAGTTGCAATGGAGATAAGGCCCCAGGTCCAGATGGTTTCACCATGAGGTTTCTTCTTGATTGCTGGGAGGTGGTTAAAGGAGAGGTGATGGGCACTTTCCATGCTTTCCATTCTCGGGGATTTTTTGAGAAAAGCTTGAATGCCACGTTCATTGCTCTCATTCCGAAAAAGGGGGGGGCATTGGATGTGAGGGATTTTCGCCCTATTAGTTTTGTGGGTTGTATCTACAAGTTGATTGCCAAAGTGCTCGCTTCTCGATTGAGGAAAGTTTTGGATGGTATCATTTCGGACTCTCAAAATGCTTTTGTAGGAGGCCGTCAGATTTTGGATTCAGTCCTTATTGCTAGTGAGTGTGTGGACTACAGATTGCGTAGTGGGGTCCCGGGTGTTCTTTGTAAGTTGGACATTGAGAAAGCGTATGACCATGTGAGTTGGAGCTTTCTTCTGTACTTGATGGAAAGGATGGGGTTCGGTGATAGGTGGAGGAGATGGATTCAGTTTTGTATTTCCAGTGCTCGCTTTTCGGTCCTTGTTAATGGTGCTCCTACCGGTTTTTTCTCTAGCTCAAGGGGCTTGAGACAGGGGGATCCTCTCTCCCCCTTCTTGTTCTTGCTTGTGATGGAAGCCCTTAGTAGATTGATGCGAAGGGCTGCTGATTTGGGTCTTGTGAGAGGCTTTCGGGTAGGCAGGGATGTTGCTTCTCAGTTGGAGATCTCTCATTTGATGTTTGCTGATGACACTCTGGTTCTTTGTTATGCGAATGTGTCCCAGATTAGATATTTGAGATGTGTCTTGATTTGGTTCCAAGTCGTCTCCGGCCTTAAGGTGAATGTGGGCAAGAGCGTTTTAGTGCCGGTTGGGGAGGTTCCTGAGATTGAGACTTTTACTGACATCCTTAGATGTCGCACTGGTGCTTTTCCCATTTCTTACTTAGGTTTGCCTCTGGGAGCTCCTTCGAGGTGTGTGGGGATTTGGGATCCAGTTGTGGATAGATTTGAGAGAAGGTTGGCAGGTTGGAAGAAGCAGTATCTTTCCAAGGGCGGCAGGGTCACTCTGATTAAGAGTACCCTCTCTAGCCTTCCCACTTATTTTATCTCTCTCTTTCAGATTCCATCTTCAATTGCGGAGAGGATTGAGAGGTTGCAGCGTAATTTTCTATGGGGCAGGGGGGGGGGGGGGGGGGGGGGGGGCAGAGGTGAAGAGTTTAAGTTCCATTTGGTGAGATGGGATCAGGTTTGCAGGCCTATTCGGAATGGTGGGCTGGGTCTTCGTAGATTGGTGCTCTTTAATAAGGCCCTTCTTGGAAAATGGTTGTGGAGGTTTGGTGTGGAGAGACAATGGCTTTGGAGGAGGGTTGTGGCTTGTCGTTTTGGAGAGATGAGAGGAGGGTGGAGCTCTCTGGAAGTTAGAAATCCTCAGGGGGTGGGAGTTTGGAAATTTATTTGGAAGGGTTGGGATGATTTTTCCAAGCACATTCGGTTTCGTCTTAGAGATGGGAGGAGGATTTGTTTTTGGGAGGATGTGTGGTGTGGTGATGCTCCTCTTGCTCTTGCCTTTCCTCAGCTTTACAGGATTGCTTCGGATAGGCAGGCCTTGGTGGTTAACTGTTATCATCTTGATAATGGGAGACTGGTTTGGGATGTTCGATTCAGGCGTGCCTTTCAGGATTGGGAGATTGATGAGGCAATTCGTCTCTTGGAGTTGTTATATCGCCAGAGGATTGTGGTGGAGGATTCGGATTGTTGGTATTGGGTCGCAAACTCCAAGGGGCGTTTTGAGGTGAGGTCTTTCTTCAAGTGCCTCTCTTTTGATCCTAGAGTTCGTTTTCCTTGGAAGTCTGTTTGGCGTTCTAAGGCTCCTCTCAAAGTGGCTTTCTTTGTGTGGACTTCGGTTCTGGGTAGGATCTTAACCCAGGATAATTTGAGAAGGAGAAGCCAGGTGGTGGTCAATCGTTGTTATATGTGTCTTCGTGATGAGGAATCTGTGGATCACCTTCTTATTCATTGCTCTTTGGCTAGAGAGTGTTGATATTTGATGCTTGGCTTATTTGGGTTTTATTGGGTTATGCCAGGATCTACTAGAGAGTTGATTGAGATGTGGAGAGGTTGCCATGTGGGGGCTCTCAGTCAGGATGCGTGGAGAGCTACGCCACTTTGTGTGTGGTGGTGTATTTGACTTGAAAGGAATAGGAGATACTTTGAAGGAAAGGCGATGTCGATTTCAGTGCTTAAATTCTCGATTATTTCAACTCTTTTTTGTTGGGTTTCAGGGAGAGATCATGATCGTTGGGGGAAATTGTTGATTTTTTGGCCTCTACGAAGGCTTGAGTCCTTTGTGCTCTTTTGTATTTCCTTGGGTTTCGCTCCCCTCTTGACCGTCTTTTAATAATATTCTTTTATTTATCAAAAAAAAAAAAAATTTCTAATTGATTTTAGGGAGATAATTTTGTTTTACAGTTTAGATTTACTGATATACATATATTTAAAATCAAAATATATTTCTACTAATTGACTTGGTAAAATGTCATTATATTGATTTTTAATTAGTAATTTGTGTGCATATGTACATATTTCCATTATGAGTAATTTAATTAAAATGTTACAAATTCCTTTACTCAAGGTATCACCTTGCTTAGTACTTTGCACCTACGTTCCACAGGAGTATGAAACCATCGCATTTCAATGCTCCTTGAGCTTTTAATGAGCATTCATGATCAGGGGAAGACCACCTCACTCCCAAAGGCAGGGTGAAATTGAGCAGCACATAACTTACCCTCTATCTTGTTTTCCCATCTTGAAAACTTGATTAGCAAAATGGTTTATTTTAATAATTCTAGTGTCATTGAGCTAGATTGCATCAAGAAAGAGAGATGGTCAATCGGCAAAAAAGGAGCAAATCTTTTCTACATATCATGTACTCTATGTATTGAGGAAAATGAAATCGGGAAGGGCTTTAGGACTGGATGACATCCCTATTAAGGTTTGGAAGTGTTTAGGGGAAGATAGTGTGCCTTAGCTAACAAATTATTTAATAAGACAATAATAACTAAGAGAAAGTGTAATGAGTGGCGCAAGAGTATTTTAATATCTATATATATTCAGAAGGTACATACAAAGTTGTACAAATCATCGTCGTATTTTAAAAAATATGGAGTCATACTATGAAACTTTGGGAGAGAGTGATTGAATAACAACTAAGACGAGAATCTGAAGTATCAGAAAATCAATTTGGATTCATGCCGGGTAGGTCAACAATGGAGCCTCTTTAAATGCTAAACTAGTGGAATTTTAAATGCTAAACTGTAGGTTTGGAGGAGAGATCTAGAATTAAACAGGTTTAAGATAACCAAGAATAAAATTAAATATATGGAGTGTAACTTTAGTAAATCTATAAATACAAGGATGCAGGGAAGATTGAGGATCAAAAGGTACAAGGAAGTGAACATTTCTGCTATTTAGCCTCAATTATTTATAATGAAGGAGAAATTGGAGATGATGTTAATCATAGAATCAAGACAAAATGGGTCAAATGGAGGAGTGCATCTAGATACCTGTGTGATTAGCATACCCCGTTAAGATTGAAAGAGAAGTTCAGAGTCCTATAAAAGAATTATTAGACCAATCACTCTTTTTGGTAAAGAATGTAGACAACTAAGAAACAGATACAAAAAGTGAGTGGGCCACAATGCCAATTTTGACATAGATGTGCCAGAAGACAAGAAAAGATAGAACTAGAAATGAATGCATTCGTGAGATAGGTAAAGTAGCACCACTTGGAGATAAAGTGAGAGAAAATCGAGTAAGATGGTTTGAAAATGTGCAAAGAAAACCACCATGCAGTCTAATTAGAAAGAGTATCATGGTCTACATTGAGGGTGTGCTTGGAGAAGGGAAAGACCAAAGTTAACATGGGTAGAGTTGGTAAGGATATGATAATAAAAGGTTTGTATGGCCTTAGAGCAGAATCAATAAATAGTATTCATGTAGTCTATCCAAAGTATTTGGAAAAAAAAGGCTTTGTTGAGATGAGAATCAACTTATAATCTACACTAGAAACTTAACATCTTAACCTGTTATTTAATACTGTAACAGTGATTTTGCTACTTTCACGAGCTAAAATTAGTATCAAATTTCAACTACATTGATCTCTACACTACATAAGTATTGAGACTCGGATCACTGAATCCCTAATTGGACAATAATCAAAGAACCCGAAGTTGGAGCTTTGATCCAAACTACAAAAGTAAATGACAACCTGGAGAGCAGATAATATTTGACAAACAATCACAATTGAATCATCCAAAATTACTAAAGATTTTTTAATAGCCACCAAGATTATATTGAGTTAAGAGAGAAAAAATAAACCTGTAATTAGACTAATACAGCCATGGAACTGCAGGGGTTACCATATCGCAGACAAGAATTTGATCTATCAAATGTTACAAATAGGGACAACTTTTTGTTCAATGAATAACAAAACTAGAACAATTAGCCATATTATAACTATGCATGTACACTCACGCATTACTACGAAATATTCTCATAATAAAGAGAACTGAGAAAACAACAGGACCGATGCAAGGAAATCATAATTATCAAGAATCAGCAACCCATGGCAAACTAAAAAACAACAAACAATAAAGCAGCAAAAAGACCAAGGCTTCCCCAAAAAAAGAAATAGGAGAGAAAAAGAGGGGAGGTGGGTGTTTGTACACTCCTTACAGAGGAGACAACATAGGATCAAATGGAAAAGACTCAAAAGAGTAATGCATACATACCTCAGTGATCATTTGATTTTGTTTGCTCAGGTCCTCGGTAAAAGGGTAACGACTTGCTCCAAAAGCTTCACATATTTTAACAATTTTGTTTTTTGCTCTCTCTCCAGAATAGAAAACCACAAATACATTTTTCTCAACCTGTAAATTGATGCTCACAAGTCAGGATGAAGTACCAAATACCACTTAGAAAATAAGGTCATATGTTGGTAAATTATGCAAAGTTTACAATATATTAGCAGTCATCATATCAAGTGAAACTATAAGACTGAAATAATAATAATAATTGTTTGGATTAGGACCCTTTGTTGGATTGAATTTTTTTTTTCCTTTTTTTTAAAAAAAATATATATATACGGCGGGAGCTAGGAAGCACAGATACGAATACGACACAGGTACGACGATACAACAAATCTCAAAATAAAATAAAAAGGATACGGGTATGGTAGGATCAGCAATAAAAAATAATAATAAATTATCTGTTTATATATATAAAAAAAATTAACTAGAAGTTATTATATATATATATATATATATATTATAAAATAAATGCAATAATTAATATGTATAAAATAAAGAAATAATTAAATATAACATAGGAGTTTGTTTCACAACACATAAAACAGTCATCACTAAATATAACTTCACCTATGAAGCATAAATACAGACAATACAATACATATCCGATGATATGAAAAATTCTTAGGATATAGGATACAATGCGAGGACACGACAATATATATATATATATATATATATATATATATATATATATATATATATTTTTATGAACTTAGATATATGTAACAATGGATAAATTTAAATAATACTTATTTATGTTATGTATATATATATATGTATTGTTATTAACATTTCTTTATAAAACATTATGATTAACAAACAAAATAAGAGTTAAAGAGTTATAGTGCATATTTTGCACAGATAAATTTTGTAATAAATCATGATATATATATCTTAAAACTTCTTGTTTAAATAAAATTTGAACTTTTCTTAACAATTATACTATAATATTGTTGTTGAGAAAGTTACATTTTAATGTTCAAGAGTTGTTCAAAATGTATTTTGAAGTATTGAGAAGCATCAAATACATGGTCAAAGTATCGGATACGTGTTAGAAATAAAATAGATATATTAAAATTATGGATACATTGAGGAGTATCCTACATGTATTCGCGAGTATCTGAGGAGTATCAGTATCATACCGACACGAAACGAGTACCTCACTCTTGTAGAAGTATCTGTACTTCTTAGGGCGGGAGTTTACAAGGGATTGTAAATTAGGATTGAGTATTGCAAGATCCTATAAAATGAGAAAAGGGAGGGGGGCCCTAAACTTTATGTAAAAGTTGAAAAATAAATTTAAAAAAAAATTCCCTGGCAAATAACTCAACCAAAGGCTTTGCCTCTGAGGACTTGAACCCTGAATTTTCACTTTGGGAGGTAGAATCACCACTGGGTAAGAAAATGATTCTTAAAATAGACAAAAATCAGACTTAAAACACATACAAATATAAAAATATTATTGCAGATCCCATGTTCATCCCACTAGGATCCATGGTGATCCTACCATCTTGAACATTCCCACGGCAATTCCACTATAACTCTTCCCCGTACAATTTCTAATACAATCTGAATCGATTCTTGACAATTGTAGATTATACAATCTAAGAAGCACGGATACAAACACGGGACACGGGTACGACACCATATGAACAAGGCGATACAGCAAATCTCAAAAAGATAGGACACGGGTACGGCATAGATACGTCAAAAAATAAATGACTAATTTGAGCTTAGAGCTAGATGTTTGTTATTTTTGTTTTCTTAAAATTTATATTATATATCTAATTAACCCATAATATATTTTAAATTGCTTTGAATCCCAATCTTCTAAAAAAAATAATTATGAAACCACCTTGTTCCGTCATGTATTATAAAAAATAATTATTTTTTATAAATTATAAAAATAAAGTCATTTTTATTTTATATTCTGCATATAATTTAATTTATAAAACAAAAACCCATGCTTTAAAAATCTGAGTGAAGACCACACCCATAAGTACCACCAGGTATTGATATAGCTTGCTATAGGCCTGCCTCAATCAACCAGTAATTGAGTTCTATGAACCAATGCAAGTAATGTTGATACAAAGAACACAAAAGCAACGTCTAAATAAATGAATCTAGATAAGGATGAGAAAAATTACCAACTAAAAAGAACTTTATTCTTGACAAACCACGAGTGGCAGTAGCACAATCCATTGCAATTTCCACACTAAGTGAAACCAATATTCTATAAATTTCTTCTCTACTTATAAAGCAATGATGATGCTAGAAGCCAGAATATATATATATATATATATATATATATATATATATATATGTGAATTTACTAAGTAATGAGATAGTAATAAGTACACACGTCAGTAGTAACAGCTCATTCAACACCATTATGTGTAAAATGAAAATAATAATGTAAAAGAAGTTATCCCTACATCTTCTCAAAATTTAAGTAACATAAATGCTGATACTAACCTTCTCTCCTGAGACAGGATCAATAACAGGGTCTTCAACAACAGCCTGCTTCAGAAACACGTTACCCCTGGTAGCACGAAATAGAATCCTTTCAAAAGCCATACACTTTTCCCTAGGAACAAGGCCAGTGAGAAATCCCAACTTAACTTGCTTGGATGAATCAGTTGACATTTCCTACACAAATAACCAACACAAAAAATACCATCCAGTGAACAAAAAAAAAAAAAAAATAGAAGAAGAAGAAGGTAATACGAAAATATCAAATTAGCAGCTGAAGGTTTTACTTGATCCAATAGCAGAGGAGTGTCAAGAGATTCTTCACCAATCTCACGTGACCCAGATTCTGTATGCTGAGCTGCGGCATTGGCTAGGGCTGAGTAGAAAAACTCACCAGCCTGAAACATAATAGTGTCCGATTTTATATGATGCATGTCATATTACAGCTTGATAGTTGGTGAAAGACTCAGAGAGACAATGCACGTTGAAGAACAAATAGCCAAAAAAAAAAAAAGAAGATATATGAAATTTATTAGCTGATGAAAACTGTTACATGCTTAAATAAGATATTATATTCAGATTTCTAAAATCCTTTTAGTACATCAGAAAATATGGTGATTGTTCACATCCTTTTAAACTTGATAAGTAATAGTAAAGGATTGTATAGTCAGAGCATTCTGAATAAAGGCATTCGAACATCAATAAGCATTTAATTCTTCATGCATGACATGATAAAGGGTAGTGATAATTAAATTATTTCATATATACAATTTCCAACTTTGGCATTAGTCACAAAAAAAGGGACAAGCCAAAGAAATACTTGATCAACAGTCTTGCATCACTATATATTACTTTTCCCAATATATCTAATTGTGGCAATGGCACTTCTGCAAGTTTCTATAAGCTACAGCAGCAAAAGAAGGCCTACCTTCTGTAGCACAAGCTTATATTCTAAAAGTTCACTATAAGTGCGCTGCAGCTTTTCTCCATTTGCATTCATTTCAATAAGCTCAGCTTCAAGTTCTCCAAGTTTTACCTAGTATACAAACAAATATACACACAAATCATGATTAAAACATAAGATACCAAAAAGAAGTACAATAATAAAGCACTCTATATACCTCCAAATCATCCAAGTCAATATCAGCACGGGAAATAGACTTCGTTGAAGGTGACAAGCCTGCCTTTGACATTTGTTCCCTGATAAACCGTAACTTGCGTGCCATCTCCCCACATCTTTTGATCTTCACAAGATTTAATATATTTGACATATCAAGACAAGTAATACGGATTATGCTAATATACGAACTTCTAAAATGATGAACTTCAAAAATCAGAGAAACAAAAAACTACTATGTTACACAAGTTGTGTATCCAGCTCAGAAGCAGGAATGGAAGTCCATCCTGCAAGACTCCACCATCTTATGCTAAGGCAGAATCTGTTATCGAGAAGATCTCAAGCAAAAAATTCATTGTTACTGTTGCAAATTGCCTTTTATATTGGAGCCATCCGGATTATAGAATCAATTTAAGGAGGCATGAACAAGACAATTTTTAAAATCAGATTAAAAAAAAAAAAAAAGCCACATCCCTTCACTTAGAATGTAAAGAGAATAATAAATTTTTTTTTTTTTTTTTTACTTGTCCCTTAAATTTTTGCAAGAAATCCAAGCATTAAGTATATTGAACCTATAACCATTACAATCACTAGTCAAAATATTACTTCAAATCAGCAAACATCAATTTGTTTACAAAAAGCAATTTTGAATTCCTTATGTGCATCCACTGTTCATTCCTATCAAACTCAGCCATATGCAAATAAAAAGTTACCAGTGAACACCCATCCAATAACTGACAAACCCTCCCAAACCTCGGGCACAAAACATATACCTAGCATAGGACAGGTAGTGATACCAATACCAATCATAGGTGTGGTTCTGGTAGCATATTGGATTTACAAGATGTGACAACAGAAACTGTAATTGTAATGGGATGAAATTTGGTGGCAACAACAGTAAACAACTAGGGTGCAAAAGGTTAGGGTTTAATAATTGTGAAAAGGGGGTGTATGTGACTGAAACGTGCATTTGGATTGGGGTGAGGGTGTTTGGTTTTAAGCACATTTCAAACATCAAGTAAGATGTCTGAAATTTATATGCAGACCAAAAAAAAAGATAGTACTGATGCAAATTTTGATGTAAATAAAAACTGGATGGTAAATGAAAATGAAGAAGAGAAATGCACCTGGGTAGCATAAGTTCGCTGGAACGGACTCTTTTCTGCATTTAGCTGAAATAACATAAATGATATCAAAACCATCAGCTTTCAAAATTATAAAAAAAACAATAGAAAGATTCTAAGGAAAGAAAATCACCCCCACTGGAATCAAAATCTTTAGTTGGATCACATGAATGCATAAATATGTAATAGAAGGTTATAAAAATGAACTATTTTCTTTTTTCTTTTTCCTTTTTAAGATTAATCTTGGTGGGGAATAGCATTCACGCATATTTTTTAAAAATAAAAAAGAAAAGAAAGAAATAACAAGAACATTATTGCAAATATCATCAACTCACTGTGCCATTACAGCCATTATAAACTCAAACCCATGTAATAATTTATTGGAACAATTACCAAAACCCCAACTGATCAAGGTCCAATTGCCAAAACCCCAACAAAGGTAAAATAACTACAATTGTTGTCACACACTCAAAACTAATTACCATGTAACCAAAAAACACTATCTACTGACCAAAATGCTCTCCCCCTACCTTCATATTTTCTCTACGCTAAATTCTCCCTACTACCAGTGCAAACTAAAATGTACCAGCACAACCCTCATGTGGAACATCTCTAAAGTAACAGTGGTACATCTTTGAAGTAACAATGGCACATCCCTGTAATAACAGTAGCACATCTCTATAAAACCCCTCTCTCTCATCTTCTCCATAGTACCAATTAAAATGCACCAGCACAACTCTCATGAGTTAAAAATGTTTGCTCAACTTTTTTTGGTAAGTAAACACAGCAAGCTGGAGCACTAACACCTATTAAGTGTGTCCTTGTGTAATTGATTCAGTCCATATGATAGAACTTCAATTGAATCTTTACCCAAAACCTTGGCAATCAAGCCAAATTAGGTCAAAATTACTGTTCCACAATCAGGCCTCACCAATCTGAACTATAATTCGTATACAAAGAAAATTGAAGGCAAACCCAAACTACAATGCATGAACTAAAAATGCGATCTTTGTTGAACAATTCCTAACATAAGGAACCAGAATTAGGTTTCACTGTATGAAGACTATGATACTTAATCACAAATCAGTATCTCAACAATCAATTGATATATCTATATATATATATAATTATACACATATATGTATATAATATATAGAGAGCTAGAGAGAGAGAGTTTGCGTACGTCTTTAAACTGAATGAGGCCGAGGTCGCCGAGGTAAGCAATGGTCTGATGGGCGGACTCGATGGTGATGATGAGTTGAACAAGTTGCATCGGCTCCGACCGGAGCAGATCCATCGGCGGACAGCAACCTCCACCACCGCGCTCTCCCATTCTTGACCGTTCGATCTCTCTCCCTCTCTCTCTCTTCTCTCTTTCTCTCTCTATCTACGGATTCAATCAGTGTCACAACAGAACTCCGATTACATCATTACCGCCACAATCTTCTATATCAATCTCACAATCGGAACCTTCTTAGTTTTAAAATTTGTGTTATTGCCCCCAATTCTGTTCATTAATTTCAGATAACCTCTTATAATATAACTTGTTTTTATATAACACCCTAATATTTACGTTTTATGCACATTACCCCTCTGTACTGCCAAATCAATTGCAAGTAAACCCTTTTTCCACCTACATTTCGTTAAAGTAACAACGCAATGTTTTCGTGTGATCTAAGAAAATATATAAAATGACCAGTTTAGCCTCTAAAAATATATAGGATTCAATAATAACCAAGCACCCCTTCTATTATTAAAAATATGTATATAACCCCAACAGAATCTTATCATATTACCCGTATATGTGTGTGTGTTAATTGGATTGTGAAATTACAAAATTGACCTTATTATATATTGTTAAAATGTTGATAATTGTTATTTGAAATGCATTTTAATTTAGCATTAAATCGTAAGGTCAATTTTGTCATTTCACAACCTAGTTAACTCGAAAATGGGCAGCATGATAAGTTTTGTTAGTTTTGGAGATTGTATGCATATTTTTTATATAACTTTTATGATTTTACCTTTACATCTATATTTGTACTATTATTTAAAATGTAAAGAATTTCACTATTTCAGTATTTATTTAATAATATAAATAATATTTATTAATTAATATAAAAAGTTTTTTAAAGAGTTTCTATGCAATTTTAACACAAATTACCTATTTATTATGAGTTTTATTTAAAATTAATATAAGGTGTTTAGAAGAGTTTCTATAAAACTCAAATTACCTATTTATTATGAGTTTTTGTAATTAAATGAAATCTAATTAGACAATAAAATATATAAAGAATTATTCTTTCTAAGTAGACAAGAAAATACATAAAGGAAATACGTAAAGGAAATATAAAAAAATAATAATTTAGTCTATTTAGTCTCCACATAATTTTATAAATAATTTTTTAATATATAAATAAATAAAATATTATTAAATTTTAATAAAAACTAGACTTGATTTTGATATTGTTTTAGGAGTATGAAAATGCACTTATCAATAATTGAATTCCTATTATACAGTTTAATTAAAAAATATAATTTTTATCTCTTTTACCTTGTGTCAATTTTATATTTATGGATCATTTGAGAATAACACAAATTACTTATTTACTATGAGTTTTTATTTTAAAATTAAAATATGGTATTTAGAAAAGTTTTTATAAACCTCAAATTACCTATTTCTTATGAGTTTTTTTTTTTTTAAAGGAAATCTAATTAGATTAGGAAATATATAACGAAAATAAATATTTTAGTCTTTCTAATTAGACAATGAAATATATATAAAAATATATATATAAATAATTTAGTTTATTTAGTCTCCACATCTTTTCTAATTTTATAAATAATATATAAATAATTTTTTAATGTATAAATAAATAAAATATTATTAAATTTTAAAAAAAAAAATTGTCTTGATTTTGATATTATTTTAGGAGTTTAAAAATAAACCTATCAATAATTGAATTCCAGTTGTATGAAGACTAATTCCTATCTACCACAAATGACATACCAAGAAGAAAGAATCCCTAGAACAAAAAATGTGAGGTAACAAACCAGCTTTTAGTAAAGAAATATTTGATTGAATTGATCTTGGTAAAACAATGTATGTAGGCTTGTTTGTTTGTATGTAAAATATTTTTTTAAATTTTGGTGTTGGATTGTCATAAAATATTTATGAAGAAAAAAATATATTAAAATCTAATAAAAATAACTTACTTATCAATTTTCGACAAGTTATTTTACACACTCTGCTCGATGAACTGCATCTCAATCTCAACTTAAACCCAGACATTTGTCAAGAATTCTAGATATTTTTCTTGTAGATATCATTGTACAAAAATGTTTGATAAAAAATACTTGAAGCTTTTTTATTAAACATGATGGAACATTAGTGATTTTTATCTCTTTTTTTCTTTATAAATATTGTACATTTGTATATGTAAATAAATTAATAATGTGTTACAATAACAACTTAAATAATTCAAACTTTAAAAACATAATTAAAAGGGTTCAAGTATAACTTTTTTAAAATTTTAAAACATAGTTAAAAGGGTTCAAATATTGGTGTATATGGTGTACACCGCTCTATTGTTTTTTTTTGGTGGGTAGGCGGTGGTGGTTTTTGGTGTAGGGTGGCAGCTGTACCCGAACAGTTGTTTTTTCTTTTATTTTTTTGGTGTACAATGCGTATGTATGTATTATATACACTAGGGTACTTTATTCATTTGTCGTAAAAAATTGAAGACGTTCCATTAAATTAGACAGATATAGAGGCATTAAATTTTATAAAATGCCTCTCATAATTTTTTTTCTTTTTCAAAGCTGCCCTGTGCCATGCTAGCCTATTAATTTTTGTTTTTACATTTTATGTATATAGTTTATTAAATTATACAAAATGACCCCTAAATTATGTTTTTTTCAAGAAAATCCTTCTAGTTTTTTTTTTTTTCTTCAAATTTTTTTATTCCCTTCAAAGAAAATTGCATTTTATTGATTTGTTGCAATGAATTACCGAATATTTTTAATTAGTTATTTTATGCACAATACATGTAAGTGGAGGGTCCCACTTCTTTATTTATGCATAAATGGACTACTTAAAAGAAATAAATTTGACAATTCACTACAACAAATGGGATAAATAAATAAAGGAATAGGCCCTCCATTTGCATGTATTGTGCATAAATAGCCAATAAAAAACATTCAGTTAGGTAATTCACTGCAATAAATCAAGTATTATTACTCAATTTTTTTTCTTCCAAAATATTTTAATATTTTTTTAACTAAAAATTTTATTTTATTCTAATTTACATAAAGCGAAAATGAGAAGGAATTAAAAAATGAAAACGTAAAAGCAATATAATTAAATCATAAATAATAAAAATTTAAGTGAAAGTATGCGTTTGTTGAAAAAGAAATTTTATCACGTATCCCCCTCTCTAAGTCAAATTTTTGGCTACTTTTTTTTGTTTGTGTTTTTTTTTTTTTTTTTCCTTTTCAAGGGGTTATAATGATCATGGGCCCGCCCAGTACGTTTTTATTTTGGAAATTAAAGTAAAGGCAATCATTTTTACTTTGTGAAACAAGAATGATGTATATATTTTTTTAAATAAACCGCATAAACAAAAAATCTTAATCAGTTAGCTATCCATGCAGATTAAAAAAATCTTAATTAGCTGTCCATGTTATATCGGATCTGTGAATTGAAATTTTTCCTAAATTATTCAAATATTATTTATTTTTTAACCGTAATCCAATACTTAAAATTTCAATTTATCAACATTAATTTATATATCTAAATAATCATTTACTAATACATTCTTAAAGTTCGTTAAATAATCATTAATTAATTAAACTAATAAAAACATAATTTAAATATTATATATAAATCTCGCGGATCGAATCGGATCGGATTAAATTTTAACAGTTCAATTCGTGATCCGATCAGTGAACTACAAAATTTTTTTGAATCAACTTATCCGTAGGTGTAGAAATCCAACTCGATCCGCACAGATCGCATCGAATGAGACTTGATTGACGAATTCACAAATTATTTACCCACCCCCGCGAAGAATGGCACATAAGAGAAAGGGCTACAACACTTTTGAGGTCATACGAATTTTTTCATCATTTGCCTCTAGAGGAATTTGATTCATTGAATAAATAAAATTGTACATCTTCTCAAGCTCATTTTTAATCTTTTCCAATGACCTTAGGACTGAAGGACCCCAACCAAAATCCAAGTCATTTTCAGCAGAGCAAACAATCTTCAACAGGACTTTTGCTAGCAACGTAAAATAAAAAAAAATAAACAACGTAAAAGGAATACAATTTTTTTTCTTTCCTTTTCATATCTTCCCTATTTTCATTCTATAAAAATTAAGAGACCATAAATCAAACATCAAACTGATTATAATGAGTTTTACTCATCCAATTTTGCACAACCCATTTTCATGAACTTTTATGCGAATGGTTACTCATCGAACAAATCTTCTCGCGCTTTGCTTTTCTTTAATAAACAAGATCTCGAGTGAAACCCATGATGGCTACTTAAATGTGTCTAAATCTCCTGGCAATAATTTTAGAATAAAATACAACATAATAGCACATGCATGAATGAACCAAATCGGCAACTGCTTCTATTTTGTGTTTTTTTGTTTTTATTAGTGTATTATAGTACTGAAGCGCTTCAAAAAAAGAGGCCAAAACTGTTTCAGAAAACAGTTTTCAAAAAACTGAACCAAGTACAGTTTTCAATTTTCTGAGAACAGAAAACTGTTTCCACAGTTACAAACCAAGCAGGCCCAGTTTTAGTTACTTCCGCACCGTAGCAAAAACACTATTATAAAAATAAATAAATAAATAAATAAATGCTTTTATGTTTTTGTTTTAAAAAATCTTGCAACAAATTTACGTAACTATACAAGCTTCGGAATATCGTTGAACACACTCTAAAATAGAAATACTTTTTATGCTTCGAATCAAGGCAAAAGCACAAAGTAAAAGCGGTTGCCGTTCGAATTATTGGTGAAGAAAGTCTTCTCTCATCTCACTGTAGCTCCGTAGCAAATGCATCATTATGGGCAGAGCTCCAGTGTCTTATGATCCTCATCTGTTGCATGTTGAAACAATTCTTATAAATCACAAAACAAAGCCCATTGTCTAATTCCTCTTGATTTCTACTGATCATACCTCATCCCATACATGGTGCTCAATTTTCTGCCCATCGACAGTATCACCACCGTTGCAGAATTTGATAATCGATTTGGCCTAACGACTCTAAACAACTATTAGGTCAACCAGAAGCCCAAAACCCGTATATTATCTCTTCATATATATGGGAATACCCGTATATTCTTAATATTATTCTTAGTTGCAGTAGTATATACTTAAAAGGTGGGGTATCAGGTAATAAACAAAAACTATAGGTACATGGAGAACCCAAAAAATCCAATTTTAATTCTTATCCACTAAGAAAAGAGGCACAAAGTAAAGGGAATGAAAAGTTTAATCATCTTCATTCACTCAATTGGTCTCTAATTACTTGTCCCTTTTGCTATTCACCCAACTAAAGTTTCATATTTACTCTCCAAGCTTTAACAGAAAAATTATCTGGAAATGAACGGAATAAGCATAGAAGCCTAATGTGCAAAATGGATGTGAGTACCAATAGAACCCTAGCGAGTGTTAAACGAGGGAAGGCACGTGCCCCTGGAATCTCTTGCACACAGACTATGCCCGGGGTCAGGCAGATTATAATATGACCTAGTAATAAAATATATTATAACAAGGACTACATAGTACGAAAAATCCAGAACAAATAAGAAATTGGAAAATGTGAGTGGGTCGACGTGATGCAATCATGCATTCTGTCTTACTTATCCTACGTTGCACAAACATTTCTTTCGATTTAGAAAAAAGAAAGAGATACCATATTCCTCGAGCACCATGCAGTCATTCAACGAGCACTTGTCTGACACTTGTGTGGCCTAACAACAATCATGCACCTTAGTTCAGGGGTAAACGATATGCATCAAGCTAGTAAGGGGAATGTAATGGCTAATCTGGATAAATGTACTTGAGTGATGGGATTTGGTGTTTTAAATCATAAATATATAAAAAGGTCGGCCATAGAGTTACATTTAGTGGTATGAATCAAGCATGGCAAATGATAGCGTTGAGGACCCAAGAAATATTTTATTAAGGCTCATCAGCAACTAAAATCCTCCTTGACTTGTATTTCAACTATTTATTTATTTATTTATTTATTTCAAATCCACACATATAAAGCTCCACAATCCATCCATCCATCTAATTAGAATCCAATTTATAGTTGTTAAATCTAAATCTAAGCTACAGCCCATAAATCATTAAAAGAAAATCCACTCATTCTAAATCTATCTATCCAAATGGGGTATAGATGATGCTTAGATCTCAGGCACCACTCAATCAAAAATTTCAATTAACCTAACCAAACGCTATAGTTCAATCCAAGCCATGCTTATAATGTAATATTGCAATGCTAATGAATTGACATTTTGAGCTTTTTAAATTAATCATCTTCTTCTTTGCACACTCCCAGTTTCCCCAAGTCCTCATCTCTTTACTCTTGAAACAATTGCACATAAACCACAATATATACTCATCAACTAAAATGTCTTCATCTTATTGACATATCCTCCTCCATTATGCCCTTTCAGTTCATCAACATTATAATCACCATTGTGGTATTGGTAATCAATTTGTCTAAACAAGATCACAAAGCTCAACCACAAAGTTAAAAACCATTCATCTCCTCATAACCCTTCAATCTTCATTGGAGATAGTACTTGTAAAGGTAGTAGCATAAACTTAAAACTTGGGGATCAAATTATAATTATCTATATATTCAATAAAAAGGATTATATAATTTACAACCCACATCCTCAAATCTAAATTATTATTCATTGCTGCACTGTTCTATTCTAAATAAAAAGAGAAAGGAAAGGAATAGAAGAAAATGTTTAATAATTTTTTTCCCTAATTAAATGTTTAATTATTCTACTTCTCATTTCTAAATACTTGTCTCTTCTGCCTTTAACCAAAACTTGGGATCCAAATTTTTACCCTTAAATTAGGTTCCTGACTTTCCATAGTTCACTATTGTTTTAGAAAAGATATAATGGAACAAATTTATTTAGAAACATGATCTCTAATTCAAATAAACAAGTCACCTTTTGACGCACAAAAGCATAAACTAAACATGAAGGAAAAAAAAGGGAATAAAGGTAACACCAATGCTACTTTAGGAACAAAAAAGTAACATGTCAAGCCTGCAAGTCCTTAGAGGAATTTACCATACCAAACACAAAGCACAATGCACATTCAAGAAGAAAGGGTTCCAAAATCAAAATCAAAGCAAGTGAAGTGAGCTATACAAGTCCATTATGCATACCCAATTCACTCTAAATTGTTGTTGAAGTGGCCAGAATAATCACCAGCTTGTACTCTAGAGTCTAGACTATATATTAAAAGTGTTCCGCATTGACATATAATGTTTATATATACACAGCCAAATTCATATATATCATTTCATATAATGGGAAAAGAAGCAATTGAAGTGACTTTTAAGTATTCTGTTACGCATACCCAATTGACCCTAAATTGTTGTTAAAGTGGCCAGAATAATCATCCAAATGAAACACATCAAATAGATAAATTTTCATATATATATCCAACGTCCAAACCCATATAAATCATTACGTAAAAGGGAAACAAAGAGGCCCAAATTAGAATTTACCTAATCACTGAATAGTAGAAGAACTACTAACACCTAATTTCAGAACACCACCAGATCACCATTGTTGGAAGAATTCAACAAATTATCAGTCACCTAGATGATGCTGTGCTTCAGACCCAGACCATGCTTTCCATGGACGCAACCAGGCCTATTGTAATAATAGGGCAATCGTTTCGACTTGTTCATCTTCGGGTAAGCCCTCTTCCCCAATTTCCTCAATCTTTGCCTCCCAAATCGATCGCTCACACACTTGGGCACTAACTCATCATCCAATTCATACCCATCATCATCATCATCATCATCGCTATCGTCAACGTCAACATCAACATCAACATCAACTTTGTATTGTTCAATTATAGGCTCATCCTTCACCACCACATCAGGAACTCCATCATCATCATGGTGGTCACTGACGAGATGGTCTGGTAAAGACTTTGCAGAGAGGTCGGGAGAAAAGAACCCAAACCCATCATCATCGTCGAAAGAGTAGACTTCATCATCAGATGGGTCGATGATTTCCCAAGCGGACAACAAATCGCCATCAACATCAACATCAACATCAACATCAAGCAAGGAATGGGTGGACGGTGATGATTGTGATGGTGATGCCCTAGACCACAAGTCCGCCATTTTCACACCTTGCGTTTCTCTCTCTAGAATTTTCTCCATTTCGTCTTTCGTTTTTGATAACCTTTTCTGTCTTTATCTTTTCATTTTTAAATTGAAATTGGTTAATGAGTACAACTGTGGCATTAGATTTTATTGGTACACGTGTCCGAGATCGTGACCATAAACAAGTCTTTTTTTTTTTTTTTTGGGTTAATGACCATAAACAAGTTTGTTAGCACAGACGCGACAGTTATATATATATATATAAACACTAGAAAATGATCAGGTGCATTGTAAATAAAAATCTATGGTGAAAAGATAAAATATATTTTATATATTATATCTAAAAAAAAAAAATTTGACATCAATTTGGAAACTTCTAAAACAAAAAATAAAATTTTTTTTTTTCATCATCGGTAACATTGACCGACTAATGGTAACATCAATCATTTAAAGAATAAAGTGCAAAAAAAATAAAAAATAAAAAATCATTTCAGCTATTAGCTTTTTACAACAAATCCCTTGAACTACGAAAAAAATCTCTTAAACTATTAATTTGTTGCAATTAAGGATAATTCGGTAGACTTGATCGAAAAAATCAAAAGACAAATATACCCTTACTAAAATGACGTAATCTTGATAGTGTAAGAGTTAAGTGGATGATGTGGAATGGTGATGAATCGGGCACCCGCGGGGGTGGGGGGTTGAATTGATTCTTGTAAAAACTTTTCTTCTTTGTATGATCAATACAATGTGATGAGGATGATGATAGAATCAACAAGCTTCAACACACTTATAAGAACTCAGTGCATTTATAAGGAAAACCTTCTCAATAGGGAAAAACCTTGATTCTTGGCCTCAGCCAATCAAATCTCCACTGTCAAGATTACGTCGTTACAAGTATGCAACCCTGCTTTCACACCATACCTAAGAAATGTTGATGTCAACCATGTCTCAGCACCACAGCAAGCTCAAACCAAACTTAGACCTCCAAACTAGCTTTTGCACTAGCAAGAAACACAACAACAAGCCTCCATTTGATCATCTACTCTTGTGAGCTCTCTGAGTGTATTTTTGAGCTTAAATCAAGCTTTGATTATTACAATTAATCTTAGAAATGTGTGTTCATATTCAGTTCTCTTTTCACTCTCAATACATCTTGCTTTTGGGGTCCTCTCAAAGGCTTAAACCCTAGAAATTTCTATAACAACATATATATAGTACATCATGAATACAAATCCTATCTCAAAGAGAAAATGTATGTGTCACCATTATCTAATCATTGGCCACGCAATAATCTACAATTCCCTTGTGAATGTACCATAATACCCCTGCCACCTTTACAGAAAATATCTTCAACATGCAAGCTCAATGACAGCCTTGAGTGTTGGCCTATGGATTTTATCTAAAGGCCAATCTAATGTTTTGATGATTATAAACCATTAATGATGTTTAAGTTCTAATATTTTCATTGAGTGATATATAGATAATCAATATTCAATCCTTAATGATGAGTTAGAAGATCCATTCCAAGCATTCTAAGCACTCAAGTAATGGATTCAAGGAAGCCTCAAAAGTTGCAAGAAATCAAAGAAAAACTCGGACTTCAAAGATCATTCAAGCATTTCAAGGAAAGAAAACAAGTCTTCATCAAGCCTAAACGATCATGGTCAAAGAATGAAAAAAATGGTATATAGGATGGTGAAAGCTTAAGATTTAATGTCAAAATTTATTTGAATATATTTTGAAGCTTAAAATTTTAGGACTATGCATATTTATTCTAAATTCAGTTTTTAAAATGCCTAAAATTTACTCACGAACCTTATATATGCAAGCTACGCATAATAGGAAGTGCATAGGACTTAGTTAATTTCATTTTTAGTCTTGCACAGCAATGGAGCCGCCTCAATTCAACGTAGAGCTTGCTCTTTTCACTCCAGTAGCCAATTTTGGTTTTTACAAAGCAATAGAGCCGCCTCCATTCAAGTTGAGCCTGCTCTTTTCAAGTTGAGCCTACTCTTTTCAAAGTTGAGCCTACTCTTTTCACTTCAGTAGCTAAAATAGGCTCAAGAAATAATTTTTGAGAGAAAGGGCCGCCTCCCATTTCTGGGAGCCACCTCTACTTGAGGTAGAGCCTGCTCCACACATAATGGAGCCGCCTCCTCTATTACACAGAGCCAGCTCCTTCTGGGGATTTGAATTCCAACGGCAATTTTTGCATTTAATTCCTCCAACCACTTCTAACAGCTATATTGAGCTATGAATTTCTATATATACAGAGGGCTGGTCTGCTGAAAGATTACACCACTTGAAAGAATATTCAAAAACAGCATTCAATAGCCATAAATTCTTTCTCTGAGCTTTCATTCATTTATCACTACATTCTCTCATCCTAAAACTTGAGCTTCATTTATATTCTTATCTACTCTAGTTGTGAGCTTGCACTTGTACATCTATATTGAGAGAGATTTAATCTTGTATTTCAATTACAAACTTTGCTACAATCTTGTAAGGGTTGGTGTGACCCAAAAGAAGCCTAGGAGAAGGATGTTCTCCTAACAAGGAAGAGAAGCAAGGTCTAGCTTTAAATTGAAGGTTTGCTCTCCACCATTAAGGAGAAGCTCTAGTGAAAGGTTTTGCCACAAGTTTTGTTTATGTCAAGTTTTTTTTTAGAGCAGAAATTGGTCTTCAGGTCTATGGGCTGAAACTAATGTTTAGTTTGTTTAGGCTTTCTTTGCTATGCTTTGTAATTGGATTAAGTTCCATTTCTTTCTTCACTTAGTTTCTGCTGGAGATTTGATCTCCTATTTGTAATTGTATTGCTTTTTCATTATATATAAAACAAAAACATACCATTTAGGAAAAAAAAAAAAGGAATTTGGGAAGTCTCAAGGGGGATCTTGAGCCGAGAAGTAGGAGTTTCCGAACCTTGCTAAATCGCTGAGTCATTGTTTGCAATTTCCTATCTCTATTTCTTTTATACTTGTGCTATATATTGCTTGAATATTTCAATTGATTATTGCATGATAGTTAGTTGGAAATAAATTTTATAAATTGCGAAAATTGGCCATTGACTCTATTCACCCCCCCTCTAGAGTCAATTAGTGGTTAACAATTAGTATCAGAGCCTAATCTCTAGAAAAAGATTTAATCATCTTAGAGAACGATCATGACAAATACAAATTTTCATCAAGAAGGTCAATCAAACAATAGACCTCCTTGGTTTGATGGAAATGACTACAATTATTGGAGAATCAAAATGAGAGCATTCCTAAGAGGCCTAGATATAGATGTTTGGAAAGCCATCGAACAAGGAGACCATGTTCCAACCAAAATGGTAAATGGTGAAAATATTCCAGCAACCGATATTGAATGGACCCTCAATGACCTTAGGCTTGTACAATGCAATGTTAAGGCTATCACTAATCTCTATTGTGCCTTAAGCAAAGACAAATTCAATAGAATTTTGGATTGCGAAACGGCCAAAGAAATTTGGGAAAAACTTGAAATTACCTATATTGGTACTAGTCATGTTAAGGAATCCAAAATGAATATGCTCGTCCATAAATATGAACTTTTTACTATGAACAACAAAGAAATTATTAGTGAAATATACTCTCATTTTACTAACATTGTGAATCCTTTGAAAGCTCTTGGAAGGTCATATACATCATCTGACAATGTGAGAAAAATTCTTAGGTCCTTGCCTAAAAATTGGGAAGCCAAGAAGACCGCCATCCAAGAGGCCAAAGACCTCAACACACTCCCCATAGATGAACTCATTGGTTCATTGATGGCTTATGAGTTAGAAATAAATGATAGAGATGAAGACAAAGAAATTCAAAAGAAGGTTATAGCTCTTCAAGCTACTACCAAAGAAGTCACAACTGATAAAGCTCCTAATGATGATGATGAAGAAGAAATTGCTCTCATTACCAAAACCGTGATAAGAGTCCTTCAAATGAAGAAGTACCAGAAGAGTAACAACTTCAAAAGTAATGGTTCATCAAGTGAGCAAGGAAAAAGAGAAGCACCTACTTATTTTCATTGTGGAAAACTGGGACATTTTAAATCCGATTGCTATGCCTACAAAAATGAAAAGGAAAGGAAAAAGAAAGGCAAAGCCATGCGAGCTATATGGGAGGATGATGATTCAAATGGATCCGAAAGTGACGATGATTCAATTGGTCAATCTTTGTCTCATGGCCGATGAAGATGAGGTAAATTCTAATTATGACTCATTTGATTTGGAAACTACTTATGATGAATTGGTTGATGCACATAACTACTTGCTAAATGCTTTTAAAGAATTGCATGATGAATTAGGAAAAATGGTTCAAAAATCCGCTAGTCTTAAAAGAGAAAAGTATATCATCTCTCAAAACCTTGAAAAATCTTAACTTGAAAATGAAGCTTTGAAAAAGGAAAAACAATTAGCTAAAGAATCGGCCTCAATTGACTTAATTTCTGAAAATGAATCATAGAAAGTCATTATTGATGATCAAATTGAGATTTTAGCTAAATTTACAAAAGGTAGAGAGAATTTGGTCCTCATACTTGGAAAACAAAGAAATGCTTATGCTAAAGATGGGCTTGGATATGATCCTCACAACAAAGACTCTTGTTTATTGAAAAAGAGAAAACCTTTGAACAATTATTTTGTTAAAAATTCATCTTTTAGCCCAAAATGCAATTATTGTAAAAAGTTAGGACATAAGATCAATCATTGTCCTATTAGGCCATGTATGACAAAAGAAATTTGGGTTATTAAAAGGGACATATATGCCTCTTCCTAACTCTCATGGACCCAAGAAAATGTGGGTACCAAAAGAAGATTACTCAAATTCCTTTTATAGGCTCGCTTGAAGTCTCCATATTCATCCAAGGACAAATGGTTCCTAGATAGTGGATGCTCAAGACATATGACAGGAGATCAATCAAAATTTTGCTCCATCAAACCTTATAAAGGAGGAAGTGTTACATTCGGTGACAATTCAAAAGGCAAGGTCATTGGCATTGGAACTATTGATATCTCATCTTCCTTATCTATTGATGACGTTTTACTTATTAAAGGCTTAAAACATAACTTGTTTAGTAT